CGTTTTTTTGAAAATCAATCGAATTGCATTTTCCAATGAATCGCATTCATTGCACCTCCGATTTCAACTCTCTTCCTAGAAAGGTTCTAAGCAAACCCACGTTTTCACAAAAAAAAAAACATATTTCATTCAAAGGAAAATATCTACAAATTTATTTAGCAATTCACTATTTTCGAATCTTGTTTAATATTTGGAGAAAATATTTTTCCTTGATTCTTAACTCTTCTTACGCAAGAAGATATATTTTCAACTCTTTAAATATGAAGATTCTTTCGAAAATTATTTCCAATTTCAGAAAAGAATTCAAATTAAAAAAAATACTTTACGACAATTATAAAGCACAGATTTTTGATTGTAGTTATTGGCAATCAAAATCAGCTACAAAAGGTAAATATTTTACTAAATTAATTTTTGCAGATAATTTTTATAAACACGCATGATAATGAAGCTTAATGTGTGAAATTCGCAGCTTATGTTGAAAATATCTCGTCAATGTCACGTCACTTGTGTTACGAGACGACATATGGCTTCAGAACAAATTATTACTATCATCATAATAGTACCAATTATCCCTGGCACTTTTGTAACGTTCTTTCCGCACAGGTTGCAACCGTATGTAAATATAAAGATTTTTTCTTTCAGATTTATTTCAAATTAGAGCCTTCTTTGTGAAATGGATCATTAAGTTTTAACTCCTATCAATAACCAATTTTAAAATTAAATTAAAATTAAATTAAAAAACAATAAAATTTCATTTGTTATCGATATTTTGCTATAAATATAAACATTAAATGATGATCGAAATTTTGATTTAAAAAAATAACGGAAAAAGTGTATGTAAAAATATACATATACAAAGGAGAGTTATTACTATTATTACTTGGGAGCAAGGTACATAAATCAAGTGAAGAAAAATTCTCGGCGAGAATAATTGATTAACCTAATGGCGCATAAAGTTAAGTTTTCTTTTTTTTGCTCTTTGCGCTTGTTTAAAATCAATGCGCCTTAAGTACCTCTAATGGTGTCTAAAACGAGATAAAGAGAATTTCCAGTTCGGTTTAATAACAGACTTCAAAAGATCATTTCATATCTCCTAAAAGTTACGGTAATTTTTTACGACTTTTTTTTCATTTATTCATGTCATTCAAGTCAATCGATTAAAAAAAACACTCCAATCTTTGACATTTCAAAGATCATTGAAATTCTGACATTTCAAACATTAGAAACTCGTTACCGTACCTAATTCCTTATTCAGTTTCAATTAAATTGCTCAATTCTTCTTTAGGTCTCAAACATTTTTTTTCCTCCTTTCTATTTTCTGATAATTTAGAAATAAATTTCAAATAATTAATTTTTTTTTGCCCAAGCGAAAAAATTAACGTTACTCAGTAAAAAGAAGATCTTATTTTCAGATGAGTCTTAAAATCAGCGCTAGTAGCTCTAATGGAAATTGAATTGCGTAAATTTAGCAAAGCTGCCTTAAAAATGTTGCCTTTTAAAATAAGACCTCTTTTCGGCCTTAAAATAAGACTTTCTTTTTACAGTGTAGTAACGTTTCTAACGTTAGTACCTATTAAAAAATTAACCAGGAAGTATGTATTTAATGTTCTTAGAGAAGCGTCCTCTTAATTTTTGGTTAACTTCTCCGAAGAAGTCAACCTGAAATGGTCAACATTGACCATTAGGATGTGGTTCCTAAACTTCGGAGAAGTTAACCAAAAATTAAGAGGACGCTTCTCTAAGAACATTAAATACTTCCTGCTGATCAATTTCGCAAATTTTCTGCAAAAATATATTTCAGAAACACGTTCTTAATTTTTTAATAGGTTAATAGTAACGTTAATTTTTTCACCTGGGAGGCTTATATGAAAAGAAGTACGAAATAAATATCTTAAAAATAAATAAATAATATTTGCGCAATTGTTTTTTTTGAAATTCCAACGTCAATGTACATTCGAAAATTAGAATGATTCAACTGGTTCGCGTAGGAGGGCCTTGATATTTAACGAAGATCGTTGAACTCAACGGCGATTAAGATTCGGTACCGGTTAGCAACTGGTTTGTGTATGGCTGGTAGTGCCAGTGCCGTGCGTGATGTACCGCTCATTATTTCAAAGTCTTCCCTATTCTGTTTGATCGATTTTTCTTTTCCAACAATATTAGTGTCAATATTTTGTGTCACGAAATCAGAAACAATATTTAATCTCGACACTTTCTTACATCGAAGAGTAACATCGAACAGCGATATGTTTCATTGAAACAGTTAAAGCTTTCGCTATTCTAGAGAAAAGAAAGATTTTTTCCGTGTAGTACACGTGAAATATGTTTTTTATGAACAATTGGCAATGGATACGCGTCCATCGTCTCGTCCTAAAAATTCGCTTCAAGACGATGCGATTTAGTTATTGTGGAAACAGCTTGAAACAGTTTGGTTTCGTAACATGAAGTTAGTAATCAAAATAGTCAGTAGCAATAAATAATAAAAATAAATAAAACCTTTCTTTTAAAATTTAACGTTCTAGTAGTCACTAATGTTTTCATATTAATAATTAAATAGAAAAAATGATATAGCTTCATAAAATTTTCACTAGAGTTTGATGAGGAAAAGATTTCTTTTTTCTTTCTACGACGAAAAAAAATTCCTCTCTAATGTTTACGTGGTTTCTCTTTATTGGAATAATTCGACATAAATTTACATTCCAAGAGACTTGAAGTTTCTGCATTATTTATCATTTGCCGGGAAAATTGAGAGATTTTCCTCAACGCGAAAAAGATATATATATTTTTTTTGGGTGCGGAAGGAAAGACGAAAGATAGAAGAAGGGAGCGTCGGATTTTCCTGATATTTCTGCTGCTATATCCCTGCGAGGGTGGAGTAGTGCTTCTGGGTTGGTCACGGTGAGGTGAAGGGCTATGGGGGAAGCCGCGGATCAATACCGCAACCGGTCGCGCCTCTGCTATGTTCAAACCTCTCTCGTCGTCTTTCCAACAGGAATTTTCATCTCGCTACTCAACATTGAAAAATTTTATTCTTTTAAAGTGATTTAGATTTTATTCTATATAAAGAAAAGAATATATTTTCTTCACTTTAAAAATAAAATTCAATTCGCTTCTATTTTTGAATAAAAATACTTGGATTGTATTCTTAGCGTTAAAACAAAAAATATCGATTAAAGGATATATATTTGTTTTTTGCTGATCGCGTAATTCTAAAATTTACTATTGTAGAATAATGTTCTTATCGAAAACAGGATTGTGCTGTAACGCGTAACTTAAAATTTTTGACGTATGTTATCCATCTCTGATTTTTCTATCAGCTGTGTACAACGTACACTTTAAATCATAGTCGCCAATGACGTATCTAAATTAACTGCGCTTGCGCCACGATAACTCTCTCATTGACAAGAAAAAGCGCAATTATGGCAAATGCTTTTATTATAAGAAAGTAATACAAAAACATTTTTTACTGCTAAATTGATTGTTTTTTTTTTTTTTTTTTTTGTTAATTCTGATACTTTCAGGATCATTAACTGAACGGAGAAATATTCCTGTCAGAATCCAATTCTTTTGACATTGCAAGTTTATAATACTATAATAATAATACTAATAAATGTTCGGGTATGGTTGGTTGGGTGTGTATATTTATATATATATTTTTTCTCATATTGACGACATTCTGAAAATAGAGAAAAGTTTTTTCCATGTACAGTTAAAGTAGTTAAGGCAATCTTGAAAGGGAAGTGTGGAAACTAGATATGCATATATATATATATGCGAAAATTTGACACAGCAATTGCGTTAGTTCAGCATTTATGTCCTCCTACTTCTACAAAATTCGACATTTATGATTGCGTTATGTAATATCTTTTGCTGATGTTGCTTCCAGACACTTATTTAATCTTTTAATGATTCACACATATCTCATTCTCAAGAATTTCGCTATCAAAATAAAAATATAACAAAACTGCCTTTAAATATTTAATATTAATAATTGGAATATTTACTTTCAATGTAAAATTAATTAAAATGTCAATAATTTGTAAATGTAATAACTTTCGCTGACAATAATCATGATATAAAAATGTTGGAAAATCGATCTCTCAGAATTGCAGCTTGAGGAACCTTAATTTAAAAAATGACCATTAATTCCGAAGGAATTAACAATTCGATAATACCTAATTAATTCAGAATAAAGTCATAAAAAGTTTTTTTTTTAAATTACATGAGATTTTTTTTATCAGAACTGGAAGAGAGGAAAAAAAGAAAAGTTCGATAAAAGCTTTTCCCCGGAAATGTAAAGTTCAGACGGAAGTGGAGCAAATGGCCCTCGAAGGCAGATGGAATGTAGGCAACGTTCGTTGACCGGCAGTCGTTTATCGATTGCATTTGTTCAGCCGGATATTGACAGACCTGGGGAATGTTTCTCCTCCTCTTTAATCTGATCGTGTCTCGCAATGTTGAAGGTATTTCATCGACAAAACTTGACATTATGGAAAGAAGGAGGATCTTGTCGAACGACAGGTATTGCCTTTCTTGTTTTCAAGGCTCTGAAGCTTTTTACATACAATGTGTCTTTATCTCAATTAATCATAAATCTCTTAGTCATCTATTCAATACACTTTGTCCTTCTAAAAATTAGGTCCAAAGAATCCTCGACAATATTATAATTAAACATTCATTATTTTGTTACCGAATGGAAATTTCAAAATGAGAACATTCAACTTTGCTTTTTGTTTCCGACGACCTCTTTCACTTGGAAATCATCCGCGTTTCGTCATCGCGTTAGCAAACGTTTTGCTAAACTTACACGTTTATTCTGCGAAAGAATATCACAACTCATAACCACGTTTTGTGTGCACGGCAATTTCATCGCGAACCGTGACCGATTCCGTAAACCTCTCTTGACATTCTTTTCTTCTTTTACCAACTGTATAAAGAATAAGAGAACTGAAAAAGAAAAAATTGATTTTCTAATGGAAGGAAAAATTTTGTTGTTTCAGGTACATTAGCAGTTTACGTTGCGTGAGCGGAGACGGTAACCGCGGTAGTAGCACAACCGGTGGTTCAACCGGATTGTTACGTGGAATTCGTAGCCGCGGAGGCGGCGGCGGGGGTGGAGGGGGTGGGGGCAGCCCAGGCTCTGGAAGCCCCAGAGGGGGTAGTCCTCGCGTTGTTAGCCCGCGTCTGGGTAACAGAGGCGGTGGAACTGATGGTGTACCGGTACCCCCAAGCAACGGACACCATCACCTGAACGGACACGGGCACGGACATCATCATCATCAAACAACCACAGGAACTCGTCACAATAGGCATCACAAACTAACCGTCAGCAAACATTGCAACGAACATCGACATCACCTACATCATCATCGGCATCATCCACACCATCGATTCCATCGGGGTATGAACATGGGCCAAAAATTATCAGGTGAGATACACAAGTCAACGACGAATTCTTTCAACAGGTCTATTTTTCAAGTTTGGGTCACTGCAGTTTCGTTCATTTTAAGATTTATTTTTTACTGATGGGTACATATTACATATGTATTTTGTTGCGTTCTGCAGTTTCAATAAAAAAGAAATGCATACTAGGAGAACTATTTTTACAGTAAACAGAGAAATTATGAGAATAATAAATTTTTCTTTGAAAAGAATCCCGCAGAGAATTGGAATTTGATTAGCCAGAGAAAATGTATGAAAATTGAAACTCCGGTTAATACTTACATTTGAATAAAGCCTTAGGTATAAAATGAGAAATTATACTAAATAGTATGTAGTTTTAGTCACAAAGGCGCTGTAATGTGGCAGGAACATGAGTGCGAACCCGTAAAGGATTCCAGGTTGACTCGCCTTATCCAGGGTCAAGGTCCCTGGGAGGTTCGAGTTTTACCTGCTTTTAATTCAGGTAGAGGAGGCTCGGGGCAGGTTCTTAAGATTCTTTTATTTATCCCTTTTTAGAGAAAGGACCGTTGGTCGAAAAGTAAAAGTATACATACATAAGGATTCTTGGAATTTTCAACTTTGAAGGAGATATCATTTTTCAAAGTCTGCTTTTCGTGCTTTTCAAATTACTCAAAATGCACTCGTGGAGAATATTTTTTTCCAACTACATTGTAAATCTCGAAACGTTTCGTTATAAATATATCGTCGACTACAATTCGAGAATACTAAAATTCTGTCTGGTTTGAAATTCCTATATATACGTTTGGAACAAAGTTGTTTACAGTAATTACAAAAATGTAAACAACTTTTTTTTCAATCTATAACAGGATTATTTTTGATAATAAGTAAAATCAACATTTTCAAAAAACTTATTATTGTATTAAATTAAAGTCAATTAAAATAAAACAATAAAAAAGGGGTGGAACCAGACAGGGATTTTAGAAAAGTCCATTAAGAGAGGGAGGGAATGTCCATTAAAAAAAATTGAAATCATGTTACCTCTCTTTCTTTTTCATCTGAAACTTTGGCAAGGGCAAGTACCCCTGATCTCCCATCCTGGATCCGACACTGATAAAAAATTGTAATAAAAAGTTTTTGAAGAGAGAAAAAAAACAATGTTGCTCCATGAAAATTGTATAAAACAGTATTGACTAACTCCTCGATATATATACGAAAGGAATGGCCAAGTTTTGTCATCAATTGGCATTTCGATTTCTCAAATTGATCACCTGTAATTCATTATACACTTTTAATTACTGTCCCAGCATCCATTACAGGCATTTTCTCATTTAAAAATAAAATGCAAAGTTAATTGTAATAAGTTGCTAATTTAAACTTTTATTTTAACTCAATTTAGTCCTTAATTTATAATTAAACGTTTTACTTTTCTTAAATTAATTCTTCATTTGCATTTAATTGCAACCAAGTTTTTTTGGCTTCGCATTTCTTGACTTTTGTCCTCTTAAATATTGGAGATTTTTTTAAATTTCTGACAATAATCAAGTTTTACAGAATTTTTAATTAAAATCGTTTTAAATAATTGATGGAAATTATTGGTTGAAGATGATGAATTATCAAAATCCCCTTAAATGAAATTTAAAAATGCATTAAAAATGTATTAAAAATGAAAAACTCGAATGAACCATTTTGCCCATGAATCATGGGAACAGAGACTTTGAAATAAACTTTTGAGTATGAACCTTTGGTTTATTATGAACGAGTAGAAGTCAATGGCTGCTCTATACAATTTTATTAATGGTGTTAGTTCCACAGGCAAGTGAAGCCAATCACTGACCTAAGCTCATTGGACGTTAATCGTTAAAGTCCCCTGGGGCCATTTCTCTTTTGACTTCCTCGCTCTGTTACTCTTTCTCTCTGTACGTTTCGCCCACAATCATTGCCAGTCTTCTCTTGTACTCAGACAAACACCTACAGCTCTCGTTGCAATGCTCACTATATATGTGAATTGTATGTCATTAATCAAGAGAAAGGTTTATCGCAAAGAAGCAAAGTACTATCCACGTCTGAATTAATTATATGATAAACGTTGCTCAGGTTTCATTGACGTTCAGCACAACTACATTCATTTGACCATTTTTTATTATTTCTTATCTAACTGCACCGAGATAAACAGATCATCAATCACTTTTATGCACGTGGCACGGATTCAGGTAATTTTCCATTTTCTGTGAATAATTAGAAACTCTCATTTACTTATTTATTGCACGATCTATTTTTTTTCTCTGCTTCGAAACCTTGATCTAAAGATAATGTTGCATTGTAAATAGACGTGGCAGGTATAAACTTTCATTCACGAAACATTTTCGAAATTCGATTCATAATTGTTTAATTGATGACAGTAATTTGCAATAATTGGAGAATCCGTAAAAATAGTTTTAAATTTGTCAGCTAAGTTTAGTTTTTATAATAAAAATCATTCATTTTTTTAAAGGGAATGACAGATTTGTTGACTATTTTTCGCGCTTGCGTTATTTTGAATATTGTATTGTTAAATGAAAACAATTGTCGTGACTTAACAGCTTAACAGTAACTTGACTGTTTATAATTATTGTCATTTTGAAAATAACTGTTTAGTAAAATTTATCGAATTTCAATATTAAGTAATTTTTCTGTTTTTTTATTTTTCCCTCTTAAAAGCAGTAGAGAGGAAAGAATAGCCAAATTTTGTTGCCTTTTATTTGACATTGATAACTTTCTTTTCTAGATGACGATCGTGCAAATGTGAAAAGTAAATCTCTCGACATAATACAATTATAGAGTTCTCTTGACTAATCCAAGTGTGCAGAAAACAACCTTCCTTCTTTATAGTGGGTTTCGTGCAATTCAAACGAATTTTAGGTTATCTAATTTTCAAGAACATGAAACGCAAGAGAAGTATGTTACAATAATAATCAGAATAAATTATACATTGTTTAAAATTTTTTTATTTTTTTACTAGTGGCAATTATGTATATAGATTTTTCTTGATTTTACCTAGCCTGAATTTCGGTTTGCTGAATAAACGTCAAAAATTAAGGTTTACTAGAAATTTATGGTCCAGGTGTCAATTGAAGGTTTATATGCGCGTGTTCCCTCGGAAATCCCCCAAGTAATTTTTTTTTTCGGTGTTGATCATTATTTGGGGAGACTTCTTCAACCTGAGATGTATACAAAGCTCCTAAAACAGCTGTTATGGCAAATATTGCAGGCTATCGATTTCCAAAGTCAATTTTCAGAGTCATAATTCACTTTTCAATCTTTAGCCGTCGGGAAATTGTAAAATTCTTTCTAAATTTATTATTCTCCCCTAAAACTTGTACTGAAAATACAAAGTTTACAACTTGAAGATGTTAAAATTTCTATTTTTCTTTAGAAACATATACTACATATAAAAAAAATATTTTATTAAACGAAACTGGCATATTTACATTGATCCAAACTTGAATTTTGTTAATTATGTAATTAATTATCTGAAGAATATTTAAAACTAAAGTGAATTTTTGTGGTATACAGGTAGTGTGAAAAGCCTGACCCGCGACAGTAGTGTGTCAGCACAAGGAGGAGTTGGCGCCGGTGGAGGTGCCGCCATAGGATACAAACCAGTTGTCCCACGAGAACTGGCCCAAGACTTATCTAGACCCGCTCGTCTCGATGTTCTTCTGGATATGCCTCCAGCTTCACGTGAAACTCAAATACACCATAGTTGGAATGCCGATGACCGTAGTTTGAATATTTTCGTTAAAGTGAGTTTATAATTGAGACATAATAACAGTTTTTGCAAAATACTTGAATCTGTTTTATATTCTGAAAGATAGTACACACAATAATTTGTGTAATTTTTAAAATTAAAATGTTAGTAATTTTGAATTTTCTTTACAGGATGATGATAAGCTGACCTTCCACAGACATCCAGTGGCACAAAGTACAGACTGCATTCGGGGGAAAGTCGGTTACACGAAGGGAATGCACGTGTGGGAGTTACACTGGAGTACAAGGCAACGTGGAACCCACGCAGTTGTTGGCGTCGCGACGGTAGACGCACCTCTTCACAGCGTCGGTTATCAAAGTCTCGTTGGAAACAATGAACTAAGTTGGGGATGGGACCTTGGTAGAAATAAACTCTATCACGATTCCAAGAATAATAATGGAATCACGTATCCCGCTCTTCTCAAACCTGACGAATCCTTCATCGTTCCGGACAAATTCCTAGGTAAATTTACTACTTCTTCAATTAAAAATGTTATTTTATTTAATATTTATTTTACTCATATTTTTTCTTTGGAAATCAAAATCAATGAATACATAACTTTGTAATTCATTCTGTAAGTTTTTTTAAATGAAAGTGAGAAAATTAGAAATGATAGATGACGATTGTAATAATAGTGAAATTAATTTTTCAGTGGTCCTCGATATGGACGAGGGAACTCTGGCATTCGTAGTTGATGGTCAGTACCTTGGAGTAGCATTTAGAGGCCTGAAGGGCAGAAAATTGCACCCTATTGTTTCTGCAGTATGGGGACACTGTGAAATTACAATGAAATACATCGGAGGCCTTGACCGTTAGTATTTTCAGATTATTTGATTAATTTATTATTATTGAAAATTGTTGTAAGAATTTATTCTGGTTGATGTGGAAAATTGAATGTTACGTATTTTGTTCACAGCTGAGCCATTGCCATTGATGGATCTGTGCCGACGGGTGATTCGACAGCGAATCGGTAAGCACCTGATAGAAGAAAAAGTGGACGAATTGAGTCTGCCACTATCGATGAAGACTTATCTCTTGTATCGAGACAGGAGGTAACCACCGAGTGGCACTCTTTGAGATGCCAGAAAATCGGCGATCTCAAATATAACAACTCTCAAGACACGATATCGTTATCACTACAACGCACAGAGATCCCGCCGAACCCCTCGCATGCCATCGAGCACAGTCCACCGATAGCCGCGTGTCAATCGTCGTCATCTCAATGATTTCCGCATGAAGAGAGCAGCATCATCACTTCGACGCCCCCCCCCCAAAGACGATGCCTCAACGGAATCCGAGACTAGAAAAAATTATTAGCTAATATTTGTTGTTTTTTATGTTGTCAACGCGATAAAAATCGCAAATTTTTATTCCTTGTTATAATCCAGCCGAGAAATGCGATCGGCACGCATTCCATTGTTTTTTCTTTTCTTTTTTAGTTCCCACTTTGTTGAGGTTTGTGTATAATCGAAAGAGGAGCGCAAAAAATATGAGAAGGGACGATTTAAGACAGAAAGAAACAGAAATGGAACGATTTAGAAACAGAAGAGAAAAATGATGAAAAAAAGAGAAAGAATTTTAAAAAAGAAACTTGGGAAACGGAAAAGAATTTAGAATGATTTTAAGGAAAAAACTATTTCGAGAATGAAAAATAATTTCCAAGAGACTTAAAGGAAAGGAGAATGGACGATTTCGTGAAAGAAAGAGCATTTTTGGAGGAATTTCCTCGAGACGAAGACACGCGGCGTTCCCTTGCAGAACTTCAAGGTTGGCCAGTAAACAATTTAGACTTAGTCGAGCCTGGAGACTGCATTTTTCTTTCGATTTGTTTTTTGACAATTCAAAGTCGACATCGGGCTCGCTCTAGTCCGGCATTGCGAGGAGGAATTCACCAAACATGAGAAGACAAGAGACAGTGAAAAATTTAGCCAAGGATGATGAGAAACATCATTATCATCGAGGGAAGAGGATTTCATTATTACCAATTATTAAGCAAAAGAAGACGAAGGAAAAAAAGAAGAAAAAGTGTGTACAGTGAGGGAAAAAAAGCCAGCCGAATAGCCACCTTCCAATAGACTCGTTTTTCAAGTATTTTCTAAGCATGCTAGGTCTTACAAAGTATAGTGGTTTAATCGAGAGAACGTGAGAGTGAGAGAGAGAGAGAGCTATGCGCGTGTGGAAGAGAGAGAAAAAAATGTACGGCAATTTAAAAAAGGGGGGGAGAGAAATAAGAGAAACGCGACTAGACTAGATTTTTGCTCGGCTCTTCTTCGCTAATGCGGAAAATGTGAATGAAAAAGGGGCATTTGTTTTGTCGCGTCTTCCAAAATTACACGAGCTGCCAGTGTTTAATTCACGCTTCCCAACATTTTTTTCGTTTTTCTTTTTAAAGACACGATTCCTCCGAGTCTAACGCACCATCTCTTTTCGCAAAGTACGCACAAACGCGCATTTTTCAGTGGCATTTTTTTTTCATGGATAGGTACGAGACGCATAAACTGAATTTTTTGCGAACTTGTACGGTTTCCAAATTAATAAGTTCGAATTTCCATGTTACCGAATTATATAAAGGAGAATTTATATTAAATTGAATTTTCATTTCATTGAATTCATATTTAAAAGAATTTTTATTAAATAGAACTTTTATTTAACTGAATTTTCATTTAAAAGAATTCTCCTTTGACAGAGAATTTCTATTCATGCAAATTTTTATTTGACCGAAATTGCAAATGGCCGAACAAATATCCGACGGAATTGGCGGGAATTTGAAAATTGAAATTCGAGTTTATTAACTTCAAAACCATAGAAATTACAACAAATTCAATGTGGGGAATATTCATGCGTCCTGATAGATAAATATTCTTAAAATTTCTTACAATACAATAATACGTTGATGATATTTTTAAAAATTGAAAAAAAATGAAGAAAAATATTCCTACTCTTTAAATTTGAATAAGTGAAAATTCACGTGTCAAAAGTTTTTCACTTAAGAAAATAACTGACTGTTGACTTATACTGGGTGAATTTCACTTATTCAGATTTAGAGAATAATTTGTTTTATTACAAACTTGGAGTTTGGCTGTAAAATTTTTAAGAATATTCACTATCTATTTTTTCCAAGGGAATTTCTTAGGAACTAGATTTGTGAGAATTTTACTTAGACGAGCCTAAAGAGAAAAAAAGCATGAGAACGTTCTATTAAAAACTTAGAACTCGTAGATATTTGCGCATCTTGATTATTATAAAGCATAAACCCTACTTTTTTATAATATATCCGGACACGAGTCATGTCCCGATTTATTGAAGACAGGACAAATAGAATTAGTACGTTGTACATATTATTATTGATAAATATTAATAATAATAATATTATTATTATTATATTAATTGATAGTTTAATCGATTAAGCGATTATCGTGTTAGTCTACAAAATGTGGATCCGTTTTAAACGGTTCGATCGACTTTTTTTTGCAGTTTTAAAAAAAAGAATTAACGAGTCTTTACGATTTTCTTGTGACATTGAATGTCTCGAGGATAAAATATCCTCGTATAATTTTTTTTCTTTAAATCAGGACAAGAGAAAGTGATTCATGTCTCTATATTAAAAATTCGAAAATCTTAATTCGTACCTCTTAGTCTCTCTCTTGTCTCGCGCGATCCTTTTCCCTTCAAGTCATTAGATAGCTCTATTTGCGACGACTGAACTCTTCTTACATCAATTGTTCGATCTTGGAGCTTCCCGGTGTTTCGACCGCGATTTTTGTTTTCGAAACGAGACGATTTTTTTGTCAAAATGACAAAATGTGCAATCGAAATTATCGTTCTGTTACATTGATTCTAGTTTCTAAATATCTCCCCAGTATTTGAATCGATCGATTGGAATCAAATTTTTTCATGATTATCGAATCATCAATTTTGATGATTGTGGAAATTCAAATTTTCCGTTCGATGATTCATTCATCGATTGGAATAAAATCGATGAATTCATGTTGGAAGTTTTGTTAAAAATAAAAAAAGGAAAATCATTTTTGACAAAAAAAAGCTTCTCGATTTTTAATCTGTTCCAAGTGAAAAATGATGAATTTTTTTTATGGTTTCTCAACTTGACAAGCGTTTTATTGACGAGAACAGTGCCATTATCGGTCGAACCGAGGATGCGTGGAATCTCAAAACTTACGCAATGGAGTGCGATAAAGTAATTTCGACTCAAAAGCGGGTAAGGCCAGTTTTTTCTGGGATGTGTAAATAGTAATACTTTTTTGTAATAATACCTAATCGCATACTTATTGAGACTCAAAATTATATGAAAAAAAATTTGATCCCGATAATAGTGCAAATTTAAAATTCATTCATTATTGACAAATTCTCCTAGGAAACTTGAAATTCAATAAATATATACAAATAATTTAATTTGTAAAATATGTTTTTGATTAAAAAAACCAAATTCAATGGAGAATTTCCAAAAATTGTTAGTAATCAATTTATTGTAGATTTGCATGTCACGGGCAAATCTCGAGTTTATTTTATAATCGAATTCATTGAATCGACTTTATTTTTAAATCGAACTCTTTGAATCGAGTATTTTTTAAACGAATTTCGTTTTTTTCTATTGAAAAGAAAATATATAATTCTTAAAAATAAAAAGAGAAAACAATATAATTTCGTTATAGTTTCTTGTCCTTTTCGTTCTTTTAGATTTGCGAGAATCCTTTTTTTTCAATCGCTGTTATGCTTTGATGGAACTGATTTACGAAAATCAGTTGCGATGATTCCACAGAGGAGAAATTTGTTCAAGTCGATACGTTTTAAGTATCTTTAAACTTTCTTGTGATGTATGTGATTGTATAAGTTTTTGTTCAGATTTTAATTTTTCAGTATTCTACGAATGTGTCGCGTCTATACAGAAGAGGGTGATCTAAAAGATCGTTTTTTCATTCTAAGCTTTATGTTTTTTCCCTTTTTACAATTTATGTTTTTTTTAAATTTTTTTTTAAATGAAAATATTTTAACATCCAGCAAATACGTAGGACGAAAATCATTCGAGAAATTCAGTAAATGTGTTCTTTTTCCTGCGTAGCTGGGATGCCTCGAGAAATGAGTCTAATTTTTATTTATATTGCGATTATCATAGGCGATTAACTGTGCGTATGCGAGTGATTTGAAAATATGCGCGCTTTGGCTCTTAGCGACTCGAAAAATGTTTTCCTCTATTCATTAATTCTAGTAAATAGTGACGTTTGTAACGTGATTTGCGTTTCACTTTCTTTTTCTTCTTTTTCTCAATTATTACCTAATTTCTCTTATTAAGAGAATATTATTATTATTATTTTGAACAAACTTCGAGATTTGTTTAAAACGTGTTGAATTTTGTTAAAAGGTCTTGAACTTTTAAAACTCTTTGAACTGTTCAGAAAATTGTTTAGAGAAAAGTAGAAGGAAAGATTGTGGAAAAAAAATTGTTAATAAAAAAGTGGAAAGACTTTCTTTGTTTTGTTTTTTTTTTTTTGTTTTTTTTTTAATTCTGAGGGGAAATAATTGATTGACTCGTTAATTGCCGTTTTTAGTCTGCCGTGTATGTATTTTTTGTCACTTTTGTGTTAAGCCTGGACTATTGCAACGAGCGATCTCACGTCTATTATTTAAGTTTACAAGTTAGCGTGGTATTGCTGTATAGCGACGAGAGACGAGGAGTTTATAAATATGTAATGCCTTAATGTTAACGATAATAATGATAGTGTTATGTTAGTTTACACTCTTAAAAAAAAAAAACATGAAGAAGCAAAAACAAGATTTACACTACTGGATTGAGTTGTTTCCAATATGTCTCCGTTCTGTTCGTCAATTTGGTATTTTTGTATATACACAATAAAAAAAACAAACAAACAAAATGTATAATTACGAGTATCTCGAAACTTTGTGAAACGAGCTGAGCGTAGAACCGACTGCTGTCTGAAATAGTTCAGGCTGGATGGATGTCAATGTTTGTAGCTGGTAAACAAAAAGGCAACACGCAGCGTATTGTAATTAAAATTGAAAACCATTAACAACCTTTAGTTTCATTCACAAAATATCTCCATTTGTTCTTAATTTATCATTTTCGAATTTTACTTTTTGTAAATTTGTGGTTGATTTCTTTTTTTGTTAAAGAAATAGAAACAGGCCTTGGATTAACGTCTTTTTCCGACTTATTTTATTAAGATGCGACTCTTTTGATTTTTTTACATTTTTTTATAAAAGATATTTTTCAGATCTTCTTCATTTCAATTATTTAACAAACTTTTAACTAAAATTCTTCTTTAAAATAATTATTTTTAATCATTTTAATGAAATTCTTTATAAAAACTTAAAGAAATTCCTAAAAATTCCAATTCAAAATCACTTGAAATTGAATTATTTTCAAAAATTTCAATTTAAAACCTTCTAAAATTTTATTATTTCTAAAATTAGTTTTTTTTTGGAAAATTTGAAAATCTTTCTTTGGAAATATTGCATCCTCTATAGAGAACACTACAATCTTCACCACGAAGACCTGCTGCTCCAGCATCTTCCACCAGACGTTCCCATCCTGAAGATTCATCCAAAGATTCTTTTATACCGCGCCTGGAATAAAATAATAAACAGGAAAATAACAAATTGTTTATTTATGTAAGTTTAAATATTAAACAATTGATAAAATATTATTTACTGTATCTAATATGAAAATAATTATTACAAATGCAAAACTTATTATTATTTAAAAAGTTATTTTTAATAAAGAACTTTAATTTCAACAAGTTTCAGTTTTTCTGCATATTCTACTACAAAATAATAAAAACTTGAAAAATTATTTTATGCTATATACACGGAGAGAAAAATCTGCCTTTTATAGTATAGAAAGGTTTACATTTAATGCACAGAAATTTTCTATGCTATATAGACATGAAATTTGAGTAATTATAGTACAATCGTATGTCTTTTTAGCATGAAACTTGTCTATGCTAATAAAGTTTGTCATATAGCCTCTTATTACATACTTATTATACTTTTAATCCAACGGCGCCATGCGAAGATCGCACATAACATCATCCTACTATGTTTGCATAAGTTCTATGCTTTTTCGGGGATAGACTCTTGCAACTGGCGATTAGGCCACGCCCACCTTTACTGAATTGGAACTGCCCTAATCGCCAGTTGCAAGAGTCTATCCCCGAAAAAGCATAGAACTTATGCAAACATAGTAGGATGATGTTATGTGCGATCTTCGCATGGCGTTGTTGCTATTAAACTACATGTTTTGTACTATAGAAGCATATATACTATGCTTTTTTAGTACGGACAAATACTATCCTAAAAATTCTCAAATCTTTGCTCTATTAGTATGAAAAGTTTAAAGAAAAATAGCAGCAATCTATTTCATACTATAAAAGGCAGATTTTTCTCTCCGTGTACAAAGTAAATTTAGTAATTAAATTAAAACTTAGGGTATAAATTTTGAATATGACAATCTTACATTGAATATTTTGCAACTAATTTGCCAACTGTTCCCAAATCTTGATAGAGTTTTCGATTTTCGGAACAAACAGTTCTTTGAATGCAACGCAACTTGGCGTCATCATTGAGGATATATTCTTGCTCGAGAGACTGTAAAATAAAAAATTTAAAAATCTTCTATTATATTAAGTTAATGAATACTGAATACGAATTTGATGTCAGTTTTTTAAATTGAAAATGGTAGATCCAATATGGCGGACGAAATATTTGAAAAATCGGTGAAATGACCTAAATTATTGTCATTAAATGTATAACCGTTACGCTATATATACTAATGTGCTCTTCTTTAGAATTCAATACTGACCATGGGAATTAATCCTCTGGATTCGATAAGATCTCGTTTTCGTCTAGAAAAGTCCAATAACCCATCCTTTCGTTTGGCTGACATAAGTGTATTTTGAATGATAGCAAAAAGAAGTAACATTCCAATAAAACCGACAACCAGAAAATGTTTCGAAGTAGGTCCCACCGACTGTTCGGAATTTTGATGATATATTGGATATTGATAACTGGTAACCGCATCATAAATATAAGGAAAATTTTCGCTTCGAAATTCTTCTTCGATTGGAGATTGTATCACATCTATATAATGAAAATTAGTTTAGTTTGGAAAATAATTGGAAAACTTTGGAGTGAAACAAAAAAATTAAAATATTATATTAAAAACTCGGAGATTTTTTTTAATAAAAGTAGAAAAAAGAACATTCGAAACAAAATTATCAATAGTTTACCAGTAAAATAGGGATTGTAAATAATTGGTGGACGTGTTCCAACAGCTTGAACAGCAGAAATTGTTTGCTTAACATCCGGTGAACTTGTGGTGGACCACAAATGAACTTTATTGCTTTCCGTTTCGGTTGTAGAAATTTCCTGCGTTGGATACATGACTGGATCGACGGTTTGAGACTTAATCAAAATCATCAACAACGGAAACACTGATAATGCCTTTGCATTTATACCAACCATTTTCAATTTTACTTTTAAAACAATAAATTCAACGGTTTTTTTAATCCTTAAAAAATTTCCTTTTAAACTTTACTTTAATAAAAAAAATTGTCTCTTGAAAATTTTTAATTCTTTTAAATATGACTTTGAAAAATATGTATTCACATTGAAGAGTTGAGTCTGCTTCTAAAGAAGATGCAAACTTAATTTTACGATACTGAAAGTTATTCATGTCAATTTATTCCGCTTATATTTAATAGAACCTAAAAATTACAAATAATTTCAGGAAGTTTTAAATCATTCGCTTCGCTGAATAAACTGCAAAGATTAAATGGAAGGGAATTCTGAAAATTACAGAAATCGTTCTGAAAAATTCATAATAGGAAAAAATTATGAAGGTTATTGACGAAAAAAAATAAACGTTTAGAAAAAAAAATTACCAATTTTTAATTAATTAAATCTGCTCTACATATTTTTCGATCGATTGAGAATGGCTCAATTCTGATCGGTAAAGTAGAAACTTCCTTCTAGCCATCTAACCTGTCGATAAAACAGATTTCATATTTTTCTCGATCAGTAACTCAACTTTTTCTACATTCGTGCTATATATGTATAAATAAACCCTTAGAATAAATAAATAAGAAAAACATCATCAAATAAACAAAATTCGGAATTATCGATCTCTTTCAGATTTAAGGAAATTTTTAGGCAAAAAATGTTTTTCAACGATGCTAATTTCAAGAGATGATTTCTTTCAGGCAAGTTTATTTTCTCATTTATCATATAGATGAGACAATTCCGAGTAAGGCGCGTAAATTTTTTAGGGTGTGTCTGTGGTTATATATATATATATATATATATATATTGAGAAGAAATTGCAGTTTTTATAACGACGTCTAGAGTGACTGATGTGTTTCTTTTGGTGGCCTTTGAAAGAACTAAAATAAATAAAGTCGCAAATGGCAAGACGAAAGGGAGGTACCAGTTGGATTAGACTGGGCGCTTGGGGTTGCTATGGCGATGACTGTAGTGTTAGAGGGTGGCCCGCAGGCTTGTCTGTCTGGACCATTCTTGAAGGGGATGACGCCCTTCGTCATATCTTTTCACTATAAAACCTTCTCTATATATTAATCACTCTCGACTGCATCCTCAATGTTCCTTTACCCACTTTCTTGTCTTTCAACTCCACTTTCTTTCACTTTTTCAATTTTAAACATTACTGCATACATGCGGAGGTATAGTATGTCAAAGCAGGTCCTAGACCACTTACCGATCGAGCAAAATAGTACTCTGTTTTATCGACAGGCAAAAAAGTGGCTACAAGGAATGTTCTACTTTACCGATCTAATTTACCGTATTTAAATTAAATATAATTTTTTCTCAGTGTAACAAATTTGTTAAAAAATTTTTAAGTAAAAAAATATTACTAAATAAAAATAATATTTTACCAAAAATTAGTGCTTTTACTAATTTGAATAAGTCAACGACTTGAAATTTAGAAAGTAAAAATTAAACAATCACTTTAAAAGTTTATTTCAAAAAGTAAATTTCAAATTCAAAAGAAAATGTAAAACTCATTTTAAAGAGAAAATAAAATAAAAAAAAACATTTAAACGCTTCAAATTATGTTGAATGAACTCTTAAATAATGAAAAATAGAGATTTAAAAAGAGTTAAATGCATCAAAGAAAAAGTATGCGATAATCTCTGGGCTTGCAGAGCTTCAATAGATAAATCTAAATTAGGTCGAACGAGGTAAAAGCACGACGGAACAAAGAAGCCTCTTTACTTTTATCAATTATACGCTAATTAACGCCTTAATTATATCCCACATGATATAATTATCTGATTATTTACACTAGTTAGAAAAAAGAATTATTTTGACTTCATTAGAAATAAAATCAAAATACACATTTCCTTTCATTTAAATAAATAATTATATGAATTATTGTGACTGATTATATTAATTAAATTTTCGATAAACAATTTACCATTAAATTCAAATGTTAAAATTATTTTCTTAAAGGAGAGAAATTTACATCCACATCATACATCACTTTTAGGATAATCCTAATTTTACTAGAAAGCAAAAAAAGAGTTTCCATACAATAATTGTTTTTTTTTTTATAAAATGCCAGTAAGATCAGAAATATAAGTAAGATTTTAATAAGGACGTTGGAAATTTTATCATTTTTACTAATTAAAATTTAGAGAGTAGGATAAAAATTGAGTTTTCGGATAAAATAAACACAGAACTTTCAGTGATATTAAAATCGCAAAATTTTTCCTGTAAGCTACCCGTAAAAATACACATGTGTACCAAATTTCGACTCTCTAGGTCAAAATGAATAACGATTTCCATCAAACATTAATCGTGACAGACAATCAGCAAAATTTATAGGGTTTTCCAATACCGGTCACACTTCGAAAAGGAAAATATATATGAATGGAGTAAATCCTACGGGAGATTATAATTTAATTTTTCTAAAAGGAAAATTGAATATATTTTCTAATAAATATCAGTGTCTCCTAGAGTTTCTAGTTTACGAATGGATTTCCCTAGCCATTTGACCCAGTTAAAGTCATGGCAAGTCAGAATTATTTGGATGAATATTGAAATAAAATTGAAGCGCTTCTACTTTTTTCAGATTGCAAAGTTCACACAAGTTGAATCTTGCAATTTTTTATCCAAACTTTTTGGATTTTATGAATTGAGGCATATATTATTTGTAAAATATAATTTTCAGAAAAAGTATCTAACCCCACAATATAATATGCTTTTAGGTCAATGTTATATCAATACAATAGAGAGCGTGTAAAAGCCATTTATAAAAGGAGATTGTGACTATATGAGGAATTTTGCTTTGAGTTCTACTTCGTATAAATGGAATTCTGATAAATCTTACAAGTATAGAAAAATAAATTAATTTTTTTTTAAATGCCTGTATTACAAACATATATGTAGGAAATCGAAATAAAATAAAGTTTTAATAACAATTGTAGAATTTTTCTTGTATAATTATTATTAATAAGTTTTTGTTCATTGTTCATATTCTCAAATGGAAATAACTGTTACTTACATCCAGTGACCTAATATGGTTGACCTTTACTTCACAATTGAATTTTGCACTGTTTCGACAGAATTAAATTGGATCCATTGCATGCCTGGAAGTAGTAGGTTTTGTAAAATGATCAGCCTTTACGAAAGTTTCTAATTAATTAATTAAATTTTCCATATAGTACCTATACACGAAAAAGTTTTTTTTGTCTATACCTAATGTCATTTCCTTGAATTAGTTTTCTAAAAGTACCATAACACGATTTTTTAAGTGCACACAGCACTTTTTGCAGATTTTTTTTTAAATATGGATAGAGCAAATTTACTATTTAAATCTTTTGTACTATACATTAAGTATCATTTCAATAACATTCTGTAATGTCCAAGTATTTATATATTTCTATTAATCAATCAAGTTCTTTCGACTTGAACGATAAACTTCAATTGCAGCGTCTCATATTTATGTACTAGATGCATTTAAAAATATTTCTCGTTGACTTTTAAAATAGAAAAAATTTGTTTAGAAATGTAGGTTTTCCAGCCAGGTATTTATTTTTAGAAAATTATTGTAACCATACACTTGAGTGTTTCTAATACAGATGAACATTATTTCACATTGAGGTCATATTACTATCGCACATGAACATGAAGCGATCAGCGATTTTCCGCCAATAGAAAATACCTTATTAACCGTAACAGTCTATATAGGAGTGATAATGAGGATAATACATATATTCGAATAATATTCTCCAAGTATATTTTAAAACATTATATATATATATATATATATATATATATATATAGTTTCAAGTGAATCCGATGAATTTTTAAATTTTCGTCCTCCATTTTTAATTGTTGAAATCCGTATTCAAATTCGTAATCAGCAACTCCAAAAATGGAATAAGTTTGTCTTTATGACAATTTCTACCGTTAGGTACTTTATTATTTCAGATCCCGTACAGGACGCGTACTAAATTCATACTGACTTTCTTCTTAGTCATTACCTATAATCCAGAACAGGCCATACAATAGAACATTTTATGAAAACGCAAATAACAATATTAAACCAATGACTAACAAAATAACAGGGACGTCACTAAGTAATAGTGTGAACGACTAAACAAGTTTGTGCGCTTAGTCGTCAACCATATCAAAAGAAGATTAACATATTAAGGTTAAATTAAAAAAAAATCCTAAATCTGTTAACAGTCAGACCCTGACCTAAGCTACCAGTAGCTGAGATTCTCTGGAATCTCTTGTTTCTCGTACCACTCGAAAAGAGCAATCCTAGTTGCAGCAGCAGCAGCAGCAGCAGCAGGAGTCATTCGACAGGGGTGGACGAATCGGGCGTATACATGGTCGGGCGGCATGACTTGACACCCTTTCACTCTTCCATTTCCAGCATCTAGCCATCTTTTACTCTCATTATCTCCCTCTCTTTCCATCGTAAGCATTCTTTCTCTGTCTTTCCACCCCCGAAGTCGAATCGACGTTCGCTGTTAGCGTTTATCGAACCATTGCGCGCGCACGGAATCTAAAGGGGCGTACAACATCTTCGTCGCTCGCTCGCGACCACACTAGCAACGCGAGGTCGCGACGAGAGTTCGCAGCAGCACTCTCAAACGCTACCGAGACGTCAACATTAATTATTATTATTGTTGTTGTAGTTCTATTATTGTCGTCGTCATTATCAACGAAAAATAGTTCTTCAATTGGGACTGTTCTTAAAGATCATTGTTCACCAGTGTAGTGAGTGATTCCTTCGAGTTTCCGACACACACACACACACACACACACACACAGTGTCTTGTGTTTACATCCCCAAAGTGACGCAACACCACTTAGAGGCACTGGAGATATTTCAATCAATACTGGAAATCTGAAAGAATTTTGACAATTAGGAATTTGAAAAAGAAAAGCACAATTCTTGCAATCCTCCAAAGATACTCAAACCGAGACAGGGCGGCGAGCCAGAGCATCGATCGCTCGCCATTTTGCCCCACGACCTGGTCTACCGTCGTCGTCCGCCCACCATCTCGAAAATTGGAAAAACTCTTTTCGATTGCAACTAGGACAGATCTAATTGAGAAGCAATTGAAAATTATAAACTTTTGAAAAGTGAAGTGAAAGAGCAACTTGGAACTACTTGGAAGGAACCAGGGAGCGGATTTCTCTGTGTAAAAGGAAGCAAAGAAGGCGGCAGGCTGGGAGGTCGAATCAGTGAAGTTGTGGGTCCCGTCGTGGAGGAGGCCATAGAGCCAGGGGATGCAACCCCGCTGACGGGACCCTCAAGGGACACCTCGGTACCTGGTGCTCCTCCACCCCCGACCATCAACATCCCCAGTCCCCCGAGACCACCTCCTCCTCCTCCGCAAGATCATCCCGAATCCCATCATCAAATCCAAAACCTCAAGGAGCAAAGCAAGGAGAATACACAGCCCCTTCAAGTCAACATGGGAACAGTACTTTCCTTCAGTCCAAGGGAGAGGCGTGGATCTGTTTATCCGCCTGGCGAGCATCCCGCTGACTTCACGTTGAATAATTACAATTACGAGCAATTGAATAATGTCAAGAATAGGGAGAATAAAAGCAGTGTGTCGACAATGGCGCCTCTACCACCCACAAATCATCCGCCGACGAATAACAATTCCCTGCAAAATAATAATATCAATTTGAACAACAATGATAATGCGAGAATTATCTCGGAGAAAAATGCTTTGGAGAAGAACCTCAAAAAGCATTCATTGTTTATTAATGCATTGTCCTGGAAACGGTTTAGCACGTCGAATAATAATAAGAAGAAGCTGGATAACAAAAATAAGAACATTACATTTAGACAGCCTCTTGATAATATACCGATTGTTGACAAGAACAAGAATATTCAAACGCCACAGGTGAGTTTTGGAGGGGTACTTTTTTCAATTTCTTCCTAACGTTACTTCTTTTTGTTCTTCCTTTATTTTTCTTAACTTTTTTTCTAATATTCTAAACCTTTCCTTACTAATGAGTATATATTCATTTCATTTCGCAAATATCAATTTTTGTAGAAATTAAAATAAACAAATTAAATTTTAAACCCAAGAAATAGAAACAGTTTAAAAATTTTTTTAAGCTAATTTCAAAAATAATATTATTTAGAAATAAAAAAAATTGTAAAAATTTTACAATGATGTAAGAAAAAATGATTAAAAATACAAATACCAATTTCTAATTTATACCCAGTTTTAGTTAATTTACTTTACCTTAGGTGGATAAAAATCGCCATTTAAAGGAAAATTGTCAATAAAACTTAATATAACATTACTTTATTAATTTGACCCAATGTAGCATCATTTTCTAATTCAACTGATGCACAAGGTTAAATATTTTTAGAAAAATCCATAATTTCAAAAGCAGGTGCTTTACTTGATTCATCCACCTCAAGTTTTATCTCCTCTAAATTTTCTATCCTCTACTTAATTTGTGACTTTTAAGAATTTAAGATTCTCTCAGAACTCTTATAGAATGAAAACAGGTGACCCAGTTTATAAGCCTGAAACATTAGAGAAACATTATTCAGTCCTTTTTCAGAAAATTACAATATTTAAACCAAGATTTATTAAAAAAAAAAAAAAGAAAACAGAAATTTCGAGGAAAATACTTTCTAGCGCAATTTAATTATAAAGTAGAGGTCACATTTCATGGACTTTGTTATACACTCACACATTGATTCTTAACGACACCTGAAAGTGTCATTTTTCTGCAGTAAAAATGTTCCATTATCCAATATGCCATTCAATATCGAAAATTCATTTTCTTTCGCCTAAAATATTATAAAAGAATAAGTTACTCGTGTAAAATTCATATATACCAGAAAAAACTAAAATAGTTTTTGAAAATTAATTTAAAAATTTAATACGCTTTTTACCCGCTTTGAAAGTTTTAAAACTACAACTTAATTGAAAATTTAATTAAAGCGTTAGAGTATTTATAACAGAAAATTCGATAAAATTGAAAAAAGGATGAAAAAAATTATGAAATAATATCTTTTAAAAAGAAACATAAAGTTGATAATAAGTAAATTTTTAAAATATGTAATTGAATTTTAAAATCCGAGGACTGCAATTTCTTTATAAAATTAAAAAAAAGTAGTTAATTACGATTAAGTTACGTTACATTTTAAAAAAAGTGACGCAATATAGAGAAAATACAATTCTACTCGAGTTGAATAAATAATAAACTCTAACACGTCAAGAAACAGTAAATACTATTGTAAAGGATAAATAGCTCAATTTATACATTTTATCGTCACTTTTTTCTGTGATAATAGTAGTATATGATTTAACCAGAAATTCAAGGATCTCTATAGTAGCTGTTAAGATATAAAAATAAACAATTCTTCTAAACCATTTTCATATATGTATATCGAGCGTGATAATAAAATTCGATTTCCAACCTCTACCACTTGCTCTCTCAAGATCAAACATTAAATGTCTGAACAATATCGTTCATCTCCACTGAGCAGAGAAAACTGTCTGACTAAATTCTCCTCTTCTACTTCATTTGCAGTGTAGTAAATCGATTTTAGTCAGACATTCTCCATTGCCTTAATAACTCTATAATTTATAGTCTTTTTTTTATAAATAACTGTTTTATGTATTTTTCTTTTACATATTTATCTTTCTCCATTGTCTTAGAATTGGTCTTTTTTCGTTTTCGAGACAATGCGATTCACCTATTGTGGAAACAGCCAAAATTTCCCATTTTCGTCATAGAAAATTAACAAGAATTTTATCATTATAACTTCGATTAATTTACAACTGTCCTGTTTATTTTTTTCCCTAAATTTACAATTAAAACTGACGTGAGAAAAAGCAGAAATTGCAACAAATATGATTTAACAATTGGAAAATTATTTTATTTTCACCCTTTCTTTTGTTTACCCGTGTGGGTGCAGGTATCAATAATTGGTCCGCCCTTGAACACAACCTTTTATTCATCCCAGACGAAGGCGCCGGCTTCCAACAACAATCACACGTCGCACAATCCCACATGTAAGAAATTGGCGCAAAAATCCATAACGCCAGGACCTAGAAAAACTGTGATCCAAGCCTCAACGTCGGAATTGCTCAAGTGCCTCGGACTTTTCCTGCACAATAAGTGCACTAGACTGCGAGATTTCCAAGCTGGAGATGCCGTCATGTGGCTCAGAACTGTCGACAGAAGCTTACTCCTTCAGGGCTGGCAGGTGAGTTTTTCACAAAAAACAAGCGAAACAAAACGAGAGTTTCGTGGTTTATGATTTTTTAGGTGCTTTCGTTTTAGTTACTTTATTTTTCACTACATATTTAATTGTTACAGAAAAATCGATAATATTATAATATAAATAATTTATTTAAAAAAAAAAACAAAATTACTTTAATAAAATATTTGCGATTTTTTTTCAATTTGTAGTAGGTATATCATTCTTACATCTAATCCTCCTCATTTCTTGAATCGCGCTCATTGAGATTTCCCACGATGATAGTATTTTTATCAATGAGAGCTTTGCTCATATTACTCTAAATCTTATCTCATCTCAAACATGATCTGTTCCAGTTCATCTGACGTAACCCTCATTATTTCTCTTATCATCCCTATCTTATTGTCGTTCTTTTGTATAATCAGTATGTCATTTATTTTTTTTATTTATTTAAAAATCCAACCAAATAATTGTCTTTGAATAAGCGTATATTTAGTCAAATACAATAAATCATAAAAGAATTCAATTGAATAATTTAGTTAAATGAACTAAATGTTTGTTAAATTGTATAGCAGTGCATTTATTTGGTTGATTCAAACAAAATTGTTTTCTGAATAGATACAAAATTATTATTATTATTATTATTATCATCATCATCACCACACATTCTAATAATTACTTGTCGTCAATATAAATAAATATATAATTGATATAAGTAAATTAATATCATTATAAAGTACAACGTGCAGTTTGTTACATTTTTAATTAAATTTAATATCAGTTGTAAAAATAAATTAAAGAATATTGTAAACATGTTTCATAATATATAAATAACGTACGTAATGGGTGGGTGTCGTTTTATGTCATCGCAAATATAATACAAACTTGGAAATTTATAAATAATTTTAATACTATGCAAACGTCACAGACTTCAGAAATAAATCGTTAATTGAACTCATTTTCAGTCATTTATATTTGTTTCAATTTAATCAAAATTAATTAATCATTTAAATAATAAATAAAAGTCAGTTAATGTTCAAGAACAATTTTTTATAAAAAAAAATATTAAGTGTTTAAGTAAAATTTTCAAAAAATTGTCGAATTTACATAATTAAAAAACGTATTTAAAATTTACAAAATTCATATCAAAATATTTATTTTATGGTCAATTTCTGCAAAACTAAATTCCTCTAAATTTTACTGATATCGATAAAAAAAAGTTTTGAGTATTTTATGTTTAAAAACATAAAAGAATAATTAATTATACTTGGAACATTTTGAAGTATAATATATGTAAAGGTAAAATAAATTATGCGAATGAAAGTCGTGCAAATAATGAAAAATTATTTCCAGTTAAAGTCTCGAAAATTCTATAAAACTTTTATATATTATTCTTTACGTGATATACATACAACTCCCACACGAATCCTGACGAAATACTATCGAATGACGCGCACACTTGTAACAAAGTGTTTCTCCAGCCCTTTTTATCTACTTAAAGAAAATCAATGAAATTCTCATTTATATATTTTATTAACATCTTTTTCATTAAATATTTAACTTTTTTTTTACTTTACGGTTAGCCAAACAAAAAACAAACTTTTCATTTAACAAGATAAAACATTTCCATTTAACTCATTACTGACAAATAATAAAATATATAATAATAATATTGCAGGAAACAAATTTGAGTCATTATATTATTTTTTATTCGCCAAGGTCGACGTACAAAAAGAGAAAAAATTAAATTTATAAGCAAGAGTCCTTATGTAAAAAAGCACTTTGTCGTCAAAATGTGTACCGCAATGTGGAAAGATTTTAAGGGGATTGGGGTATCGGTCACGTGGCGACGGTTCGTCGGCAACGTCGCAAAGCGTCTCCCCTTTAAGGGTGTGGAAAAATGTATAATATACCATCGGGTACAGTCACCCCTCGAGAAGAGTATGTATTTAATTGGGAATGGGGAGATTTCGACTGAACATTAATGCGCTCGCATGTGCAAATTCCGAGGCGGTCAAACAAAAGGGTAGTTGCACTCCCTTTGAAAATAAAAAAAATCCCCTTTTAATTTCAAATACGTTCTTTCAAGTTATTTTACATTTTAAGTTACTGAAAAATTACAAACTCAAGAATAAATGCTCGTTTGGTATCCTATTTCAAAAATCTATTCCACGTGAAAAGTTGATTTAAATTTCAAGCGAGTGAGGCTCTTTTGAAATTTAAATCAACCTTTTTTTAATTGCGTATTAAATTTTCTTAGCTCTTAGTGCAGGTTTCACCAACTCCGATTAAGTAGTTAATTCCAGATTAGTTTAATTTAATCACACTGGAAAAAAATTCTCGTTAGAATAACCAGAATTCTGGTTATTTTAACTAGAAAGTAATGGTAAATATAGCCTAACCAGAATTTTTTTTTCAGTACAGTCTTTTATGTCCCACCATCTTTGAAGATTAACTTAACCGCCCTATTTTGGTCGGTTAACAGAGTTAATAACATCAGAATTTTGAGAAAAGTGGGGGCACATTGTAATTAATATATTATATTAAACTTCTCGAAATCAAATAAAAAATTTTAATCAATTTTTCTGATTTATTTTCTTTCTCTTCAAATGTACTAAACTATTTAAAAGTTCATATTGATCATTGTGTATTTCTCATGCTTTTTTGGGCTATATTTATACATTTATACATTTTAGACAGTTGTACTTTTTTTACCTACGTATTTCTTGTATTGAAAAACTTGTCAATTTTTCTATTGCGTCGTATTGTACTCCACAGGTCATTAGAATAGATTCCTAATTGACCCAAATATGAGGGCGGTACAAAACAAATTTCAAGCAACCTGGAAATTGTTTCTTTATCGCCTTCACCATATGTTACTCACATCGTGAACGCAATAAATTGACTGGAAAAAAATTAATTTACATTTCATGAGAATTTCTCTTGAAATTCAATTTAATTTTTTGTTATGCATGTGAAATATCTTTTTTCCAAGTAGGATTATAAAATGATCATAAATGAGTATTATATATACTTGACTGTTTAACTTTTCAACAAATTATTTTTAAGTAAAAAATTAAAAATATTTTAATGTAAAAAGAAATTATAAAATTTTGAAATTACTGTGATAATAATACTTCCTTCTATTTTGAAATGTCCATTAAAAATTAAACGCTTATGTCTGTGACTTAAAATAAAATTTCATTTCAACATTAGAGAAATTAAAAATTTAAAAACGAGAAAATGATGATTGTAAATTAGAAAACATAACACATCTACTTAAATAATGTCCCGTCTAGACAAGATCACTAAAATCTTTTAGAGCGGAAATAGAAGGTCGGAGAAAATTTAATTAAAAGAACCCATACGTATGTGGAGCAATTTTCGTTCATTGTCAAACGCTCGTTTGTTTTACATATGGTCGACTCTTACCTTTTACCTAGATTTTATTCATTCAATCGTTAAATCTGTGGGAAAATTGGGCTCATTAAAAAATAAACTTTTTTAAAATTCTGCCAAATTATTAAATAAAATAGTAAATTTGATAATTTTTAATTCAACATCACAAAAATTCCTGCAAGTCTAATTTGGAAAATTTTCATGCGTTCCTTTCGGTTTTCTTTCTACAACGTAATTTTTCTCTTTCAATATAACTATATAATATATTTTCTATAAATAATTTTGACCTTTTTCTAAAAATAATTTCAATATTTTCTTCATAAAAATTTAGGTTTCTCTCTATAAGGGAACTTTTATAAATGACGTCACGTTATGGGAAGGGAGGAGTTTCATTCTCAGTATATCACGAATATTTTTTGTAATTTGTAAAATTATTTTAAACCACGATATTTCGATTTAAAAAAATGCAAGTCAACCAAAAATAGAGATATTAATTTAAAATAAACTGCGTGTAAAGAAATATTGTAGAGCTTTTGTTGAATAAGAGCTCCAAAAAGATTTATCATAAAATTTTAAGAAAATAGTCAAAAACGATGCAATTTATTACAATAATACATATTTTTTATTTTAACTGAAATTTAACAAATGAATTAATCATTAATCGGCAGAACAGAACAGTCGAATCTGCATTATAATTAATCGGTAAAACAGATTTGACTGTTTCAATCAGCAAATAATTCTAATAATAATAATAGAATCGTAATCAACGACCTCGAAAACCCCTGAGTAACCAGTTTTAGGCGAATCCGATAAATTCCGAACATTTTTTCCGACATATTGGATCCGCCATTTTGAATTTTTAAATTTTTATGTCAAATTTGTAATCAGTGACCCCAAAAAAACACCAAGTAACGAATTTCAACGCACTGCAGCACGCAAGCGCATAAGTATCGACTTTGTTAACTTTATAGTAGTCGTTTTCTCGAAAATTTGTTTCTGGATGTTAGGTTCCTTCTTTACTGTTCAATATATACTAAATATTCATTTTTATTATTTTTAATTATTTGTATACTCATTGTTTGAATTAGTATAACTTTTATAACTCATTATGTACTTTGCGGTTGAATTTTTATTCACAATTAAAATATCATCGACTGTTTAATTTCCGCTCCGTTATTTTTTTTTAATTTTCAAACAAAAATATAGTAAAAGTAAATTGAAATTCCAAACCCGAAGGTATTGGAATTTATATGAACATTCAGAAAATTTCGATTTCCGGAATAAAATTTGAGAGCCCTTAGTGCAAACTCTAATTAAGGCAATCATCAGTTCCAGTGACGCATATCCTGAAAAATCGGCTTCGCAAATTTAATTAAAACTCCTGCACATGAAAGAACAGACGATTCGCAGTTGAGAAACTCGCAGGGATAGAACGTAGGGCGCTAACCCCCATGAAATATCGACCTAACGTTATATCGCCTCCTTATACTTATCATCCACGCAGTGTTTCTTATATACAATATTTTTCAGAGACAAAAGAGTGTAAAGCTTACCTGTTATTTATAGACGATTCGTCATTACAAGAAACTTGGTAATAATTATTAATTGATACTATCGTATCCACCAATAGCTTCCTGTATATAAATAAAATAACTAATCTATACTTAGATAAAATTTAATTAAACTCGTATTTTGATTTGGTACTATACTGTCAATTTTTTGATAAAATAATTAAATTAATATTTTGTGACGTTCACGTGAAAAGGGACCTTAAAACTTTTAGTTATGTTTGTAATTTTCAAGTTAAAATATAAAAAAAGTACCTATCATCTTTTTATGCAATGAAAAACGTTGGGCGAGAAGTTCAATTTCCATGTTCAATTGTTGCGTTAAATGTCGAGGACTCTTATGATTTCATTTTGGGCGAACTTGTCTCCCTTTTAAGTTTTTTAGTTTATTATGTTTAAAAAATTTCACCACAAATTGCAAATTTAAATAGCGGTTGTCAACAAAATGTGAGGTTGTGTGATAAAAAATTCTCGCTGATTTTTCAATAAATTTATAAAACAAAGTCGATAATTGCAATTTTCCTAGGTAGAATAAACATGCTTTCAGAATCTCTGGAGCTTTTAAAAACTGTAATCTCGGTCATACGCATGGAATAAAGTTGAGCAAATATATACTTGTATGTAGTTCATACACTTGAAAAGTAATGTGGCATATGCACTTATCACTTACACATATTATCGGTAATAGAGCATGTATAGCAGTAGGGGCAGTTGAGGGCGTCAAAGGCGTCGCGACGCTCGCAAGTTGTATACCTCCGTTGGTAACAAAAGCAGCAGGTTGCTGATGGTTAGAGAAAATGTATCGAGGGCATCGATCCTTCTATGCTGGGTCACTGCAGGGTCTCGCCTGGTGTTCCCAGCTAGTTCACTTGCCTCCAGATTCTAACTGGATCGGACTTTGCTACGTCCTGATTCACTAATCACTTTTACACAAGCTACAAATAACACTTAAACCAAATGAAAATTCAATTTTATTTCTGAAAGTCTAATTTCAAAAAATTCAAAATTTTCTTTAAGCTGTTGTTATTATAAATTATTAAATTTTTATTGAGATTTTTCATCAGAAAACTTTCAGGAAGTTATTTAGAAACAAAATTTGTATTTCGTATTTTTTTCGTAGTACCTAAGTAATTCGACACTTTTACTTTTAATTTCAAGAAAGAATCCAATATATCGATTTATATTTAATTAATAAATTATGTAATTGACAAAATCGTTTCCTCAAATTCCGATAAATGGAATAATTTAACACCTATTTCCTGTTGGTGCTTTTTAGCTCGTTTCTCGATAACAAATCTCCAAGTGTCAAGTACTATTTATAATCAAGTTTCTTGAGTTATAATGTCATATATTACATTTTCTCTTTCGTTCTATGAATTTCCAGTTAAAATGAAAAAAATTATTTTTATACTTTCTCTTTATGTACACAATAAAATCGATTCTCCTGCGAGTTGTGTTGCCTTGAGTATGGTGTATTTTTCTAAAATGAATTATCGATCTGATTCTTGTCGGGAGGATGTCAGGGTTCTATCCAGCAATTCGTGAGCAATGCACGTAACTAGAGACGAGTCATGAATCATCCTTGTGTTTAGGCATTGATTATACGGGGCAATAAACATGTTGTAGTTTATAAGTAAATAAATGGAATCAATCCGGAAATATGTTTTTAATTAGACAAATAAAATTAGCAGTTACCAGCAATTAGTACGAATACTTATAAAATAAATTTTTAAAAATATAGGCAGCACCATTATATTATTAACTATTATTATTAAATATAACCATTATTATATTAGAGCATAGTCAGGAAATATTTCTTAATATTGTCAGAATAAATAATTTTTGGAATTTAAGAAAAATATCTAAATGAAATAATTTATTGACTCGATGATTAAAAACTTGTGGTTTACAGGAAGCCTCACTTCTTGTATTGTAATCTGATTTGTGTGTAAAGTGAGGCTTCTTTTGTATAGTAATCTTTACACCAAGATTAAATACACACATTTAGAAAACCTAATCTGTCATTTAGAATCTGTATACTTTTTCAACGTCTACATTAAAGAAGAAAAAATACTGCTGTAACGATCATGTTACATTACAAGAAATATATATTTTAAACAAAAATCTCTTTCTTCTCCGTCAATATCTGATTTAAACAGTTTTCTGCATATACGGACTATCCCCAATTTTTGGTGGTCATTTCGGATAAGATTTGCCCACCGTAATTCTTTCCAATGATCATCCCAAGAGGTGATGATAAGTCTCATTATTTCCCACCCTGGCAAGCTAGCCCGATAATACTTCAATTTCTGAAATCAATCGAAATAGATAATTTTCACAATTTTAAATCTATAAAAGAACGTTTCAAATCAGTTAGAAAAAATTTAAAGAAATCAAGTATTTTCTCCGATTATAGTAGATGAATTTGAAAAACGTTTGATAAAGGGCAAAAAATCTAATTGACGGTTCTTTTTTACTTTTCAGGACGTTGCCTTTATAAATCCTGCCAACGTTGTGTTCGTCTATATGTTGGTAAGAGAACTGGTGGATGGAGATGAAGCTTCAGAGAAGGAGCTTCAGGCGACAGTTTTGACGTGTCTCTATTTAAGCTACAGTTACATGGGTAACGAAATAAGTTATCCCCTTAAGCCATTCCTCGTTGAAGACAGCAAAGACAAATTCTGGGACAGGTGCCTCTTGATCGTCAACCGACTCAGCTCCAAGATGCTCCGCATTAACAGCGAGCCTGGATTCTTCACCGAAATCTTCACTGAACTGAAGGTGAGAATAAGTTAATTACTTCCTTTAAGACATAAATTTTACTTAACGAAGAAAGGCCTTTTTCAAGAATTTTTTCCAAATACTAATATCTTGAGTTTCAATTTTAAAAAAGTCGTTTTTGTTGACAAGTTCCAAACATTAAAGAGACACCTTCCAAAAAACATGATGTGACCAACATGCTTCTTTAATTTTGAATTGTTGTGGAATTTCAGGCCTGCGGAGCCGGAGATCTAGTCAATCTGACTGGGAATGGTTTAGAGCGAAGCCTCGTCGTCTCCGGAGTCGCGGTTCCCACCAAGGCAGCTTGACGGAGCTACACACACCTGTTGGTGCGAATCGCCAGGCACGGCTGCGACGCCACAACCCTCTGACGACGGGCCTCTGAATGCAGAGCAGCTCTCGCAGCATGACCCCTCGACCTCGACTCAGGAGCAGCAAGAGCCATCTCAGCAGGATCCACAGTCTCGCCACGAAGAGGATAATGCTCAAGGTGAGCCTGGTCGCTGCATCTCCTGTGGCCAAAAGAGGAAGGGTGAAATTTTCTACACAATCGAGGATCTGGATGCGATTGAGCTAGCACCGGCGGACGCACGTTTCACGGAACAAATATGCGGCTGCGAGGAATTTGGAGCCAGTGCACGTCCTGAATTACAAAAGATCCGGAGCACTGAAACGCGATGGGCCAACACGAGTTTCCTTTCACCGGACGATGCTCTCTGGGGTTTAAGAAGACACGCAAGCGATGGAACCGAGTATCGATGGGAGCTCCATGCTTCGAAAACCGACTTGGAACTCTCCAAAAGGGGAAAGTGCTCCTGTCACACTCCTGCCACGCCCGAGGAGAAGAAACCTGAGAGAGGAGACCTCAGGAAACATCACAGCGCAGAGACTGATAAATGGTCAGTCCAGGGACTTCTGACTCCTCCGCATGATCTTAGAAAGCATGCGAGCGACGATACAAGAATGGGTCGCGAAGCCAGATGGACTCTCCAAGTTCCCGAAGTGCTGCCGAATCCGAAACCGAGGTGCACCTGTCCCAAGTCAAAGATCGTCGCACCTTCACCCACCGTCGAAAAAGAGGAACGTCCTCTGTTGCGAGATCTCGTGCCCTCGAGATCTTTCGAGAAGCCATCGACTCTTCAGGTGGAGAGGCCAGAATTGAGGAAACACGCCAGCGAAGACAATCGACACGCTAAGGACGAAAAAATCCAAGACCGAGCCCGAGAGATTCGACCTTTACCAAGCACAAGTGCCGATCCAGGTCCAACAACTGTAGCTCCAGAAATTGCCAAACCAAGGAAATTCTCCAGACCCACTGAACTCTTTAAAACATCTCGAACTCAGAGTACACAGGACAGAAAGTCCAGTACGAAGGAGAAGGTCTTGAGTCCAGAGAGTAAGAAAAGTCTCCGATCGTTGTGGGCGGGCAAATCACATTTCTCTCTCCCAGCTCAAAAGGACTCGAAATGGTCCAAGAGTCACGATGATTCAAAAACCAAGAGTTTAAAGGAGCGGCACAAGTATAGCGTTCGGAGAAGCATTTCCCCGGAACCGGATCCTAGACAAGTGATGAGAATGGATAATCGAATTATCAAGCGGCTCATTTCTCCAGACATCATGATCACAAACGCCAAGTGGGCTCCTTATGAAGGCTACTCTCCATTGCCTAACATCGGGATCAAGAAGCGGGAGACGAAGCGAATCAGCGAGATCAAATGGACTCCATACGATTGCTCTCCCTCAGATGCTGGGGACATGATTCCTGAGCTAATTCCTGAAGAAGAAGAAGAGCCTAAAGACTGGTCGCCTTTCCATAACGTCACACCTCCTCACATTCCACCACCAGAGGCAACTCCCTGTCGGGACGAAGACGAAGAATTCCGTCTACGACTGTTAAATCAAGTCTCTCCATTTCCAATATATCAAGGGGGTTGGAAGGACGAGTCTCCACCGAAAACACCACCAAAAATTGAAACCTCCGTGGAGATCTCAACTCCAATCTGGTCTCCGATGGAACCGGCAACTCCAATCAAAATTAGAATTCCAACCCCGTCACCTCCAGAGAAGACTTCTACTTTAAAGTCAATCAGAAAATTAGGTTTGAGAGGAAGATCCGAAAGCAAACACGTGGACGAGAATAAACTTGCTCCACCGAAAGGTATCATTAGAGCCTCAAGTGAAGATCCCAAAAGTCGTCAACGGCCGCAACTTGTACGATCCCAGGCGCTTTTGGAAGTTCCAAAGAACATTAGTGCTACAAAACGTTCTCTCAGTGAAGACGTGCCAAGACGTCGATCTAGACATTCATCCAGAATTCCCAATCGTGCCAAGAGTGAAGAGGTTCCGAACTATGATCCGTGGTCTGCGTCTGAAGGTGCTGAGGTTCGTCAGTACGTAACGACGGTTTAGATGACATTGGGCTGTGATCATTGGAAAAAATCGTGGATACTTTTTAAGAAGCAATTATCGTTAAAATATTAGAAGTGAATGAAACTCTAATTATCAAAACGAACAAGATAAATTCTTATCAGATTATAAGTATAAAATTGCTTATCTCTTGATAAGAAGTTTCAGTCTGATAAACACTAAATTAGGATGAAATTCACTTCTGATTTCAATCTATAACGCGAAGAACGAAATTTGCTTTTCGAAAATTATATGAGGTCTAATATATAGAATCTAGTCATGAGACTAGCTAGTCACTAGTTAGTCACAATAATTAAAATGTTATAAATCTAATCTAAATTCATGTAATTGAAACCCAATCAATCTAATTCAAACCTAATAGAAATCCAATAAGTCTATTCCAAATCAGAAACAATTTTTCAAAGTCTAATTTTACTTTTAAAAGAAGCAAATTTAGTTTCAAGACTTGCTTAAAAAATCGTGTCCACGATTTTAATTTTATCATTCCCAGACTTGGATTGTACTCACACGAATAGCGATGGAGATCTAAAAATCATAATTACGATTTGAGATTGCAAAAAAAATAAGAATTCTCAATGACAGCATAGTTACGATAAAGATATTACGATATATACTGACATTGATAATGATATTACAGATACGAGTTTAGTCATGTAAGTAGCGGTTAATAAGGTCGGCCGCGAACTTATATACGATATAGTATACAAATGTATGATTATACATAATTCTGTAAGAGACAAGTACATAAGAGATAATTACGTAAGAAACACTGCTCAGAAGTCGGAACACAATTCCGCGTGAATCGTGAGAATGACCCGAGAGGCAAATTTGTTATTAGCTTCATAATCTTCACGACGCATATGAAAATTCTCGAGAGAAATAAATTTCAAATCTTTAAAAAAAATTTCGAGAATAATTCAAAAATCTTTGAAGAAAGAAAGGGATCGAATAAATTTTATAATCCGTTTTTGGATTCTTTCCAGGGTCTGCGATGTTCATCCCTGTCTTTTGTCGAAGGTGCAAATTTGGCGTCTTGTATAATTTATTCGTTTTGGGCCACTGAGGCCTCTATTACAGGACCGTGGCCCTGTGCCGGCGTGTGCAATATTAAGTAGAATAAAATGTGATTAGCTACTAAGAAACGGAGGTACCAAGGGTAAACCGATTCTTGTACGTAGCAGCTCTGACTATTACATAGAGATCCAATCATCGTGTGAGTCAGTAAATTTAGGTTCGTTAACTTCATTAGAACCATTATGAAAATTTTTTCTTTTCACATGGTTCTGAAGTAGTCGAGTTCAATAGACACCGATATCGTGATATTTGTTGATATATGAAATCCTTTTTCTTTTTTCTTTGCGATTAAATAGGTAACCAGGCAGTATCTGCGCGTATTAAAGGTAAGAAGGTGTTTACATTTTTTTTCATTCCATCAATCTTGGAATAAATTTGGCGAAAGCATATGTAGTTTTACTATTTTTTAGTCATGTTTTTAAAACATCGCCCTAGAACGTTATCAAAACGATATTTTGTTATTCTTCGTTGAACTTTATCACTACTACCTTTTAAAAATTTTAATCTGTTTTTTGTGGTCTTGTATTACATTTGCCTCAAGAAATTTTAAAAGTAGTTCGAACATTTGAAAAATTGTTCTCTATACGTAAAAAATGATTGAAACGCCTTCTTATCAGGTATCAAGCATCACGTTATTGAATGATCTGGGAATAATATCTCATTAGCGAGCGATATATTTTAAATTAAAAACTAATCTTAATCAAGTGTATAGTTGTGCTATTTCCATAAGAAATTTAACTGATTTATCAAAAAATAATTTCTACGCTGCCTGGCTAATGTATTATAATAGGTAAAATTATTAATCTTAGGACGTCTACCACACGGTCGAAACACTGCCGGACCACGTCCAGCGGCTGACTGTTTTCGATTTCCAGCGAAATATAGTCGTTATTTTTTAACATAAAAAAAAACAAAGGAAAGTGTTCTTTAACAAAACCAAATTACAACAATATTAATGTATATAAGTCATGGATGAGTAACTGGTTACAAGTTTTTAAAAAAAATTTTACATAATACCCAATTTTTTTAACACGTTTAAATATATAGTCTTGTTATACATATATATATATATATATATTTGTATTTCAAGAAATTACAAATTAAAAATTTTTGTAACTTGCTACTTGGTAAAAATAACTTATTCTTGATTGACAATTGAAAATAAGAGTAATTGGTAAAATTTGGTACGCTTTCCTTTGTCAAAAAATATAATAACTATATAACCATCGGGGCGAATTCTTTGAGGAACTTTTTTCCTCTATTCGCCAAATATCGTGTTTTCTACATTTTCGCCTGATTTATCATTAACACATCTGTAATTATAGCAAGTTATAATTAAGAAATTTTGAAATTTCAGGACGAAATTAATAAAATTTTCAAGTTTCAGAAATAATAAATTAGGTACTTGCTACGTTATTTGAAGGAAGAATATTTTCATTTCGGATTTAAAAGTTTTTTTTTCATTTGAAGAGAATTCGATATACAATTCCATTGGGAGTTTTAAGAAAACGGAAAAGCATATCAATTCTTCTCCTTCTCCTTTCAACATTATTTCATTTGTTTCGTCCTGTAATTTTTTATAATGAAATAATTTTCTATCGTCATTCGTCATTTCCTGATTGAAAATTCTAGTCTCCATTAGCGATCTTCGCAACTCAGAGACTTGTCTTGTTAGAATAATGAAAATAAAAATGCGGAATAGAAATCTTTCCAAATATTAATTATAACAGAAAAAAAACATTGAAATTAATCTAAGAAAACAATTATCTGAGTGTTCAAACCTCGACTGTCCTGATAGTAAACCTGATATTTTTGTCACTTGCTACAATTGACAGTTATCAAGCGCCGAATTAATGAAGAAATTTAATATTTCTAGATTTTCCATTTCATAAGACTAATTTTTCAGGCGATATACATTCTTGTAAATAAAGTATCCCTTTAAAAAATGTTTTTAAAAAACCTACGAGCGCTTGATGATTATAAATTTGTGATAGTTTCAATACTATATTGAAATCTCCGATAAAAGCAATTTCTCAAATTTTCAATTCACTCTGGATTCATATGTAATTATAGAAGCTCATAATTTTCATTCCGCTGGAGCGCAAGATTTTTCTTCGAAATTCTACTTTTCCTATGAAGAGTTCGAGTTAAACGTAAATTCATTCTTCATTATTTTACTATTTCATATAATTGTAAATTTTTGTTTGAATTAATTGAAATTTATATAACCAAAAAAAAATTAGTAAAATTAACAAAATTGAGAATTTGTGTCGCAAACTGAAGAAAGGTTTCTAAGAAGCAAAGGTTAGGTTTACGAAAGTTTTAAGGCTAACGCATAACAGTTTGCAAACGAAATGCACGGATTTGTCGCACATTCATTATTTGCGATCCTCCAGGGTTCTTAAGTACCTTTCTTTAGAGCACGATACATTTTAATTTTTAGTAATCCAATCATTGTACTAGCATTTATCTAGAAATATAGGAAAATTAAAATTGGTGGGAAAATGTTGAGCCCCCCGTTTTGCTCACAGTGAGAATCGAGGGAGAAAGAGTGAAGCCAGGTTTTTAACGAATGGAAGGGAGATGCTCTGAAACACTTTTTGAGGTATATTTTTTAATTTTTTAAAGAATTTGGTAATTGGTGCGTTTTTGAAAGGAATGAGGATTGAGCGCTTGCAATTTGAGCAAGTGTTAATTCAATCGAGCATTCTTCAGCTAGAGCATGATCTCAGATAGAGCATCTTTCACGAACTGACATGTGAAAAGTGCATCTAGTCAACCTAAATCGTATTAGATTGTATGGAATTTTTCGAAGCTATTGAAATATTGTTCACAAGCCAGAGGGGCACGTACAGTGTAACCGTGCTGCCATTAGCATTAAAACAAGAAGAATTTAAGGAGAGAAAAAAAGAAGCCAAGATAGTTAACAACTCCCAAAACATATGCGAAGTAATATTATAATAAAGTTTAAGCCCATGTAATTCGTTTGCCGAGGATTATTTAAGATTCTTCGTGTTGAATTAGCAGTTTCGTCCGTGTGATCGAACGATTGATCGGCCGAGTGACAAATTGACGTAATACCTATAATAATAGCGCTAGAAGTAACGCGAAAACCTACGAATAGTAGATTATACTCAAATGTGATTGATTTGCTGCGAGCGACTTCTTGTTGCGTTATCGCTTCTTAAAACGACTCTTCATATTCAAATTGTTTTTATTTATTTCATTATTTTCTAGTCTAATTCGTCTAGTCTTTTGTTATCACGTCTCCATTTTAATCATTTCTAATGATCCCGAACTCAGTGCGACGTGAAGTAGGAGTATTTATCCTATGCAGAGCGATGCATTATTTGTGAAACTGTATGACATAAACCCTTAATATTGAGGTCAATGTTAATTTGTTTAAATAAATGTAAGTTTGAAAATCCAATTGATGTTGATTATATAACCTACAATTTTTTGCTTCTTAGGTACCTTACTATATTATTATTATTATTATTATTATTATTATTTTAAAATCATTTTCCAGTGTTGAATTATAATAACTTTCATCGATATCTCACACTGAACAAAATTCTAGTTAGAATAACCAGAATTCTAGTTAATGCAACTGGAAAGTAATGTTAAATATAGCCTAACCAGAATTTTTTTTCAGTGCAATACTTGAAGCGCAGATTTAATATGGCATTGAGAATCATTTTCAATCTGGATGGACATCTACAATTTCTGAACTAACATTTCAAATCGGGTCCAATGAACATTGCAAGTTTATAATACTATAATAATAATAATAATAAAAAATGTCTTGTTTCAATAAAACTCTCCTTTCTTTTATAAAATATTATTAACGGCCTCCATAACTATAATTTAATGTTTAGTTTAATTGATAATTAATATATTTATGATAAAGGTGCCAGAAAATTCAATAAATTATAAATGAATATATGTATCAACTGAGAAGATGGATTTTTCTTATTGCTTTCAAAGAAAATGTTCCCCACTCAAAATTTCTGTTAACATCCTTTGAGAAAGAAAATAGAGAAAAGATAAGAATAGAACTTTAGGATATTCCTCATTTTCAGTATTTTTTTTTTTAATTATAACATACTTTCTATTACAATTCTAACATTAAAGTATATTTGCTTATTTACAACAAAACAAATAAATACCATTAATAACTTTATTGTAAAATAATTAAAACTTAATAATAATTATTAATTACTTACAAATGATTCTGCTTTTTCAACTATAACTTCTTCGTTAGGATTTTTACATTCATCAACTTCTTTCTCTTTTTCGACAGAATTACCAGACCTTTCTTCACTATCTAAATTAGTAATTGCTTCAAACTTTTCATGTGTTGAATTTTTTTCAGAATTGTTCAATACTTTTGATTTTTCGCCAAGAGTTGCACTCTCATTATCGGAATCACTGTTTTCTTGTCCAACTGATTGTCTCTCATTTTGAGATTCACTAGAATCATCATCAGTGGAATCCAGTTCATCGGAATCGAGATCCAGACCAAAACCTAAGGTGATTTTCTTCTTTTTATTACCTGCTGCTTCAATTTTAGCGAGTCTTTTAGTGCCGGATGTAGAGGCAGCTGCGGCAGCTTTGAAACCTTCTTCAACAGCATCGGCGACTCTTTCAGTTAAAACAGATCGTTCATTATCGTATTTCTGATCCTTAAATTCATGTTTAGGCTCTGAACAAAGTTTCTCCAGTTTTCTCTTTTTTCGTTCGGAAGCTTCATCTTGACTTTTTGATTTTTTCTCTAACCAGAGTTTTAGCCTTTTCTCTTCGTTAATGTCGCGTAAACGCCTTCCGCTAAGATCTCTGCAGGCTTCTCGATTAGTCGTCTTTTCAATCTGAGCCCCAATCGCTCGAAGCATGGAACCAAATCCTCCTTTTCCTCCCAAAAATCGAGGTGTGACAATCGCAGAACCTCTAAAGAGAACATCGCTATCGCTTGCAAGACGTCCATTATAAATTATGTAAAAATGTTCTCTGGAAATCATCCGCTGCAAAAAAATATGAATAAACTATGTAATTTTACAAATAAAAATTTATTCCTTTCATTTGTTAAAAATATTTTTTTTCTGAATTGAAATTCAGTCGAATCTTATTAAAATAGGTTGAAAAAAAGTCGTACAATTCGCATTTTGTTATTAGTTGTAGGTTATGTTTATAAAATTCTTAATTCATATCCATATAAAAGACGTTATTAAATTTATTAAGATTATCCTACAAATCAAGTTCATTAAAATTGAAATTGTTTGTAAGTATTGAATTTAATGGAAATAAAAATACTTACGTTTGATTGTTTAATATGATCCCAAACTTGAGAAACTGTCAAAGGAATATGTGAAGTAAAAACTGCTTTTAAGGAATTACCTGCATCAACATTAACTGACAACATGTTGATTTTATTAAAATGTTAAGTTATATGAAGCTTTCTTTTTAAAAAATAACACAAAATGAAATATTTCACAAATTTAAGTAAAAAAAAACAAATAATATGACTGTGATATGCAATCACAATGGAAATATAAAGCAGAGCAGAGTGCAGTATACTGCTGAAATCAGCGAATTACTATTAAAATGTTTAAATAGTACTTCACTTGACTTGAGCAGTTTTGCATGGCAATGACGTCACACGAAATGCTCCCCTTCCATCCATCGATTCATGACGAATTGCCCTGTAAAGGCCAACGCACAACTAATTCTTGAACGGGAACGCAAACGGAATGGAATGAGTAAGAGAAGGAAAAACATTATGTCTATCCTTCTCTTACTCATTCCATTACGTTTGCGTTCCCGTTCAAGAATTAGTTCTGCTTAGGCCTTAATTTGCTGACAATATTCTATCTGAAGTTAGACTCAATACTTCAGCGCCAAACTGAAAACGTGGTATAAATTGAAAACATTTTCAAATTTGCAAAATGTTTAAACTATTAAATTATTGTTTTTTAAACTGGACACTTTAAATATGTAATACTTAAGATGTTTTTAAAAAGAGGGCTTCACTATTTTCATTATTTACGTTTTAAAAATTAATTATCTGTGTTCCCTAACCTAACCTGTAGTTGAGGTGTAGCGAAGTCTTCGCTATAGTAAAATCAGTGAAATGTAATTTTGGTGTACAATAAATGAGTAAAGAGGAATTTGATATCTAATTAATTATCTGGTCGAAGCACTTCTGATGACAATAAATATATGGAACCAAGATTCTCAATATATGTATCACTAATTTTATATATCTTTGTGAATAAACAAGAGCAATTAAAGTTTAATTTGAAAATTCCCTCTCAAAATATTGTTTCCAATTTGAAATTTTTTCCACTTTTCTTAACTTGATAAAAATAAAAAAGTCTGAAAATCAAAAAATAAAAAAAATTTGATTATATCTATTAAAGCAAGTAATTTTGTTTTTGAAATATAGTTAACAAGTGTTAATTTCGTCCTTTTCTGTTTCTCTCATTTTTGTCCTTGATCTTGGGCTGTCTTGGATCCGTGATTGTACGACGCATCTTCAACATAGAGCACTCATTGGTCGATTTTTTGCAATTGATAAATATATGTGTACATTTTTTGACGTTAAAAAATTGTCGGTGTCGACTCGAAATAAACAAGATAGATATAAAAGCAGGATGTTCTTGACCTTAAAAAAAATCGAATACGTGTACATTTCTTGAGACCGTCCATTGACCTCAAAGAATGAAGAAGTGACCCGTAATATCCGTGATACTAGGGGGAACAGGTTTCTTTGAATCACAAATTCTAACTGGAATTAACTCTAGAATTAACAAGTTACTTCACCTGACGTTCATCAACAGTGCTTCTCTTCGTTTATGTGCGATCGTAAAAAACTGTTTGCAGTTTTCTTTGACGTTAAAAAATTTCAATAATATATATTACAGTTGGTTTAATAATATAAGTTTTATACTAAAATTTTTTTTATCTGTTTTGCGAAAAATTTCGCTATTTTCAAGATGGGTTATTTAAAATCAATTGGGGCCGGAATTATTTATATCGGAGTGATTTTTGGCATTCTTACATTTGCTCCTGGTTATCCTCCCGAAGCTAATTTTACAGAGTATACGTGAGTAATTATTATTTTATATTTTGTTAATAAATTTCATGTAGATACTGTTTTAAAAATAAGAATAATTTTTCCAAACCATTACCTTTGTATAACCAAATTTTTATTATTTTTACATTTATCTGACAAAAATATGTATATTTTAACGATTTTCATATACTGATAATTTTTTAAATTACACATAATTTATTTACAGTGTGTACGGTTTCTTCTAAATATTTTTTAATTAAAATTTTTTGTTGTAATTTTTATGTTGTTTTTATAGAATAACATCTCCAAAAGAATTGCAAGGGAATTCGGGGTTAAATGATCGATTAAATAATGCAGAAATAATACTGAAAGGTAAACTACACGGACCCGAGGCATTTGCATCGTACAATGGTGAACTTTATACCGGACTCAATGGCGGTTACATAGTAAAAATAAAAGAAAATCAAGAGGTCGTACCTATTGCGAAATTTGGAAAAAAATGCGGTAAGAATTAAAATTATGCAAAACATTATTTTGCGTTATTTGAGAAAATTTGCAATTCTTATTCCTACATGCATAGTAAATGTTTCTTTTTTTGAAACAGTCGAGAAAAAACTATTACATAAAATTAATCAATAAAATATTCTTTTTTTTGGACTTTTATATTTAAAAATTTTTAATTTTAATTCTATCTAGAGTACATTTTATCTTAATGTATTCTTGTAAATATTTTTCAGACGGCGATTGGCAAGAAGAGACTTGCGGTAGACCTTTAGGTTTGAGATTCAATAAAAACGGAGAACTTTTCGTAGCCGATGCATATTATGGAATTTTTAAGCTTGATGTGAATTCAGGAAAATATGAAAAAATCATTGACATAAATACACCGATTGATAACAAAGTGCCAAAAATTGTTAACTCTTTGGATATAGCAAGTAATGGAGATATTTACTGGACAGACTCTAGCACAGAATTCGCTCTTCATGATGGAGTTTACACGTTCCTTGCAGATCCGAGTGGAAGGTAATAAACTATGAATATATGAAAAATATTTTTTAGAAGAAATTTTATTTAATGTTTTTATTTTAAGGCTCCTGCGATATAACGCCAAGACGAAAAAGAACCAAGTTCTGGTGGAGAATCTTGGATTTGGAAACGGAGTGATTTTAAATGCCGACGAAAGTTTTGTTCTCGTAGCCGAAACTTCAACGTCTCGTATTGTCAAGTACAATTTGAAAGGACCAAAGGCAGGGAAACAAGAAGTTTTTATTGACGGACTTCCTGGTATGCCCGACAACATAGACAGTGATGGACAAGGTGGATTTTTAGTATCACTCTTCACTTATATCGATTCGCAAAATCCTCAAATCTCTCAATCTCTGATACCCCATCCAAATATTCGAAAACTGTTGATAAGACTGATGTACTCTCTCGAAGCGCCTTTCAAACTTATTCAAACTTACTATCCAAATCAATGTGTTGAAAAAATTATTCATTCAATTGGACATTTCTCAAGTATGACATTCATGAGTTCTCATCGTTCAGTGATTTTGAGAATTGATTCCAATGGAAAGATTGTTGATGTTGCTTCTGGAACTGATGGTAAAATAACTGCTATTAGTTCTGGATTTATTCATAAAGAATATTTGTTGATTGGTTCACCGTTTAACGATTATTTTGCGCGAATTCCATTAAAGGAAGCTTTCCCATCACTCGTTTTGAGTCCAAAAGCAACGACCGAAGACGCGAAAAAAGTCAATAGCATTCCCGAGGAAACAAAAAAACCACAAAAGAAAGCCACAGAAGAAAAAGCGAAAGATAAATCCGAAAAATTGAGCGATGGGGCGAAAACTCAAAAACAAAGCAAGACGTAATTCTCTCGTATTGCTTTCGATCATTGATAAAAAAAGACTATTTTTCTTTCACATTCCAAAGCTGTTCCTATACTTTTAATAAACTGGACAAAGTAGTTTTAAGGAAAATGGGAAAGTGGCTGTAAATATATCTTTCCTGCTTGAAAGTCAGTTTCAAAAATAACTTTCAAAGCATTTTTTATAAAACGAAATATATATATCCTTGAGGTCGACTAAATATTTATGATTTTGATTGTGAAAGGTAGATTTGAATTTTTTGTTGCATTTCGATTTCCAATTAGATTCGGATTTTTTAAATTAAGTTAAATGAAACTTTAATGTTTAATATGGGTTCAAAGTTCTATCTGGATTTCCAATTCTAGAGAATAATCAAAATTTGAGTCAAGACAAAGAAATATTTAATACTTGTTGAGGTAGAGTTTACAATTATTGAATTATAAAAGGTTGTTAATGTTCGACGACGTTGATTTATAGAATTTAATTCCAATGCGAACAAAATATGTGAACGTACAACGCACAAACTCAATAATTTTTCTTGTGATTAAAATTTATTTTTCGTCAATACTAATGTAAAATAAGTTAGTTTTTTTTTTGTTAGATAAAAATCATTTATTGTAAGAATCTCCTAGACGCGCAAATAAATATATGTATCGTTAAGGGTAATAACGTTTATATTAAAAGAAAAATAAATACGAGGCATTTCATCAAATTTTTCTTGAATTTTTGCTTTTCTTAATTTTAATTATAATTAACATTCTTCTATTTCTTGATTTTATTATAATCACTTCATCTTAAATATTGATTCATTTAATTAATTATAATTAGAATTTATGAAAACGCTTTTAATTAATTGTAATTGCAATAATTACAATTTATTGACTCTTTACATTTTTACAATTTACAGTGACTAAAATATAAACAATAAAAACAAACATAAAATAAATAACAATATAATACAGTAAATTCTATAACATGTGAAACAATAAAAGTTTGTAATCTAAAAATGTCATTAAATAATACTTAATGAATTTAATAAAGCACTTAAAAATCAAGTATTTAAAAGTTTCAGCCAATCGACGTCTGCAAAAAACGGATGACGTTTTATCTCCGGAATTGTCAGTCGTTCATTTGGTTCATATTTAAGAATCTGTAAAATGTAATTTCATTTAATTAGATAAACCAATTATTAAAAATAATTTTTTTTACATAATTAGACACTAAAATATTAATCTTTCACAAGTAATTGATTTATTTGTTTATATTTACATATAATTACTTCTTAACTGTAATTATTAATTTATTATTTCTAAAGTAATACGCAGTAACTGACAAGAGTTATTGGATGAAATTATAAATTTTGAGAATATATTTTTTTTAAATAAATTATTGTGGTTCTGATTAATATAGAAAAACTTATTTTTCATGTCAAAAATTAAAATAAATAAACAGTTAAATTAATAGACTTTACATTTTAAAGAATTCCTTTAAACATCCCATAATTTTTACAAGCTTTACCCGATTTTTCTAGTTCAGTCCTTTTTAAAATTCACAATTCAATTAAATTAAAGAAAAAATTAAAAAAATTAACTTACACTAAGTAAAAGAGACTTGGAATTTTCCACTAATCCATCAGGAATGTAAACAGTAGAATACGAATGAAATTCTCCCGAATGTTTTGATTGGAATTTCTAAAATGAAAAAATAACTTATTTTAATACATAAAGAAAATTAATAAATAAATAAATTATATAAAAAAAGATAAATGATTTTAGTATATTGATGCATTCATAAGTGGTTGAATGACTGTAAACATAAATGTTTAGGTAATTATTACCCACATTATTGATTATTGATTTATTTTATTTCAATTCGTAATCAATCTCAATATCTTTTATTTCTTGAAATGTTTGTCGCTTTTAAGAACAATATTAGAGGAATTTTTCCAACAATTATTTGTTTTGTTAGTTTTATAATTTTTTAAATAATGTATAATAATTTTAAATATAAATTTTTGACTATTGAACTACCATTTCAGTATAATACATCGTCAATTTAATTAATTGATTAAAACAAATAATTATATTAAAATAGAAAATTAGTTTTATCAATTCACAAATTAAATTAGTAAAATTATTTAATTAATAATTCAAAGACTGTTTTACGGTAATAAATTTAAAAAAAAGTAAAATTAGCAAAAAATTAAAATCATTATCAATAAAAAAGAACGTACCAAGCCAGTAAATAATTCATAAAGCAAAACTCCAAAACTCCAAATATCAACAGCAGTTGTTGGAAGCAATGGAGGTGCAAAAGCACACAATTCAGGGGAAGAATATGGTTCCTTAAATTTTAATAAATTAAAATTTCTTCTCGGTGGCATGTAAGACATAATTATATTTCCTTCATCGTTAATTAAAATATTTTCAGGTCTCAAATCTGCAACGACTGTATCTTGCTGATGAAGTGACTCTAAAGCAACTAAAATTTGCGCCGACCACAATTGAAGTACATCCTCGGAAATTTTCCATAAAACTTTGTCATCGTTAAAATTTTCATAGCCGGCATTACTTTCTAATTTCTCACTAAAATTAAATTGCACTTCCTCTTGAATATTTTCACAAAATTGTGCAATGCATTCATTTTTCATGTTTTCACCTTCTGTCATCGTTGAAAGATAAAATTGATAAGTTTCTAAATCTGATGATTTATTTATTGCTGAATATAAAGACTGTTTAGGTTCTAAAATTTTTTCGGTTAATAGTTTAGAATCTGATAGTGGTTTATTTTTTGAATCCTCCAATTCACAACTGCTTGGTTCTGATTCTTCGACTAGTTTTTCTGAAGTGGAAAATTTCAAATTTGTTATGACATTTTCTGTACTGTATAGCAATTGTTGAGATTCATTTAATCTGGTTGCGATGGAATTACTCTTTTTTAAAGTTGCGCTAACAGATTGAAGTAACTTTTGCGCGTTTACTAATAATTGTGTTGTGTGAATATCATCGTGACTAGAATCCACAGAGATTTGTGTTTTATTTAATTGTTCAAAATCGATGGAAATATTCGTGATATCATTTTTTGCCTCAAATTCTTTAATACCTGTTTTCAATTTTTCGCCATTTTGTTTTTCTTTAATATCCAATGACTTATTTTGGTTTTCGCATGTTTTCTCCAAATTTGATTGAATTATTGCATCACAACTGAAAGATCGGGTGTGTTTTCTTTTAAAAGTATCTACGCCTTTATCTATTTTATAATGGGATTTTATAAAATCCCACAGTCTTCCTTTTCTGTAAAATAAAAAAATGTCAATAATATACATAATGTCATTCACGTTTTTCAAACTACATTAAATATTTTTGTAAATTAATATTATGTAACAAGAATAAAAATAATAATTTTATTTCAATAAATTAAATACGCAACGTATTGAATTTTAATTTAATTTCCGATTAGATTAGTAGCATAGTGATGTAAATAAATTGATAAATAAATTCACTCGATTCGAAAGTAACAAAAATTGATAGTTACCTAACATATTGCAAGACTAGAAAAACAGTTGAATCCGTTTGGATGCAAGCATGTAATTGAACCATGTAAGGTACTTTTCCTCGAAGAATATAATTACTAATGTCATCATTGTTTCCTTCAGGCATTTCTATTGTCTGGAAAAGTTGTTTTTAAAAGTTGAATTTGTTTTTCAATTTTGTCAAAAATATTTTAAAATGCGTGTTTAATAAATTCGTTAAAAAAACTCATTTAGCAAATTACAATAAAAATTAAATACTACGTTTTACTTTAATTTTGCAACTATATTTTTAATATTTATTTAGAAATTAAAATTAATTTAAAATTTTCAATTTTTGGATTTATAATGAACAGGACTAGAATAATTTAAATGAAATGAAATAATTTCGATAAGAAATAAAGCTTTAATAACTCACCTTAATTACCCTTGTAAATCCTCTTAACGTGTCTTTGACAAGCATTAACGATTGAATAAATCCAAGAACTTTATAATTTTGAAGTTCTCCAATAGGTTTACTTAAAACTGATATATTACAATTTAAATGTCTATTATAAAGTTTTTCAGCTCTCTGTAAATATTTCCTTACTTTGTCCTTAATCGTATTCTTTCTTTCAACATCCGAATCATTTTGAATTCCATTCATAAGATTTGAAATTCCTAATTTGTACTGCGTGAAAGCTTCCTCATACTCAGCAATTGCCTCGTGGCGAAAAGCTGCGCTCATATGAGCAGCTGCAATTAAAATATACTGAGCGGAAAGATTGTCCGCTTTCGGCAAATCAGAGCCATCATGAATTATCGTTACCTCTTCTTCTTTAATTGCTTCCTGAGCGTAAACGACACCATTTGTCATTGTCTCTTGATTATTATTGCTTTTGTGATTTTTCTCATCCACAGGACTCACGCATTCAGCCTTTTCGTATGGTTGAACGTTTAAATGATTTTTCGAAATGAATTTTCGAAATCCCTTGGCGAGACTTTGTGAATGTCGAGATCGACGAAGTCCTTCGGGATTCTCAGTGAATCTTCGATCATCCTCGGAAGTATCGGAACTTATTGACTGTGAACAATCAATTAAGTGACGATCGAGGTGACTGCTTTCAAAGAATTTCACAAAAACATCGCTCGAATAAAGCGCTGAATGTTTAGCAATGAAAGTTAAGAGTCTCAGTGCACAGTCTTTTCTCTCCTCGATTACTTCGGTTTCAAAACGACCGAAAAATCGTGGCTTCGGAAACGTTGGAAACAACTCTTTACTTTCGAGAGTTAAATATAAATTGTTTAATGCTGCGTGTAATTTTCGAAAATCGCTATATCGTTTCCAAACTGATACTTTGGAGACAATATCCGGCGAAGTTTTCATAAACATCTGCAAATATAATGCTTTTAGATTTTTTTATATAGTAAAATTGATGATTTTTAGTTTTAAGCGAAATAAATATTAAGCAAAAGGTAATTTAATTTTCATTGTTAAAATTAAAATGTTAAGATTAGAGACAGAAACTTGATGTTTTTCACAAAAACGTTTTATGTTCTCAAAAAAGTTAAAGTTATACTGTAATTATGCTTTCAAATAGTGTCAATTATGCCATTATTATGCTCTTAAATTATATTTTTCTGCTTTGATTAAACTTTAAATCTGAGAAATTTTTACTTTAAGCTCTTTTGCATGCATAAAACTGACTGTTTACATATTTACTTTACTTATTAAAATTTGTCGAAAAAAGTAGTACAAACAAACAAAAATAATACAAATATTTTTGATATTTTTAATATATTACAAATTATGAAAAATCGATATACTTACAATAGACGTCACTTTGTAAATGGTAAAACCTCTTTTATGACGATCTGTCTCGGTGATTACAAATCGTCTAACCCATTTGTCTTTAACTGGAGGCATTTTTTAGTAGTTTTAAATTCACAATTTTAATGGAAATTCTGTTAAAATACTAAAAATACTGATATTTAAAATGAATTGACAGCTCAAATTTTAGGTTAGGTTTTGAATACAATGTTGTTTATCAATTTTTTTTTCAGAGAAATCATGACTTTAAAGCAGAAATTAATATTTCTATCCGTAATCCATCTTTACTTGCTCTATTTGTTTAAAAAAATAGCTTTTTATTAAATATATTTTATATTAAACATAAACTTGACATTACGGTCGTATAAATTACAATCATCAATTACAACAATACCACGGTCGTATATACAGGTCCGGAATCTCATAATGGTTCGCAGGGTCGTGCGTTGAAGCCCCTCCGATAGGTGGCTACGTGTCGAAGAGTCTATGGTTGGAGTGTAAACAAACGAACATAACCTATAAAAATATAATTTTTCGTGCGGTGTATTTTTTGTTTTTAATTTTAAAATGCCTTCCGTTTGTGTAGTTCCAAAATGTGACAGTAAAACAGAAAGAAAAAGTGTTTCGTGTTTTCATGTGCCGCAAGATGACAAAATAAGACAAAAATGGCAGCAAGCAATACCTGGGGTTTTACGTTTAAGATCTGCAATGTCTGTGTGTGAATTGCATTTCAAAGAAGAAGAAATTATTAGAAAAGTACAAACATATAATCAAGAAGACAACATTATTTATGAAAAAAATTTAATAAAGCCGCGTTTACGTTTGGGAGCAGTGCCCTCGATTTTTAACAATAATAATAAGACTCAAAATGACGTAGACAAAAACGGTACGTTTTTATATTTTTTAAAAAGAATAATGTGAAATAATGTTTATGGTATTCATTTTTTTATTTAATTAATTATATGTTGAATAGAAAGTAAAATATACAAGCGTTATTCAAATTATACTTCGTTCAGTACAACTATTATTATGTATGACTTGTTATAATTTTTTAAAATGTTTCATAAAGTTTGATCTACTTTTGAAGAGCAAATATTTTATAAAGATTTAATATTTTTGATTTTTAAATATTAACGTTTTTGGCAGAATACATTATATTTATTGCAATTTAAAATTTATAAATTAAGTTTTCAAAATCAGAAGTTTGATGTGCACAGAATATTATTTAAAATTAAATTTTAATTTTAGTAGTTATTTTTTTAAATACCACAATTTTTAAAGAAATAAAGTAAATATAAATAAATATATGCTTTAAGTATTAGTATTGTGTACAATATTTTCTATTTTCCATTTTTTTTAGGAAATGCACCACTTACATCGAATAATACGTCGACAAATTCAAATTTAATTCATGTTGAAGATTATTTCTACGATAATAAAGAAAATGTATCAGATAATGTCGGTTATACAGTTGATCCGGATTATGCGGTTCATACGGTTCAATTCAGTTCTGCTGTAACTTTTGATTTGTGTTCACAAAGTACGTAATTAAGAATTATTTATTGAAAGATTAATTATTATTTTTTATGTTTTGAATTTGCTTATTGTATTTTAGAAATATAATTTCGTAATTGTTTTTTGTAGGTAGTGAATTTTCTGAAGATGAACCATGTAGCATAGATATACCTAAGCCGTGGAGTGTACTTAAATCTCAGACAGGAAAAGAAGAAAGTTTGTTATTTGTATGCTTTGTTAACAAAGAAAATGTTAAAACACATACATTTGAGAAGGTTGTTGTGATGAGTAAAAATAGAGAATTGCAATACGAAGTACATTCAAATACTGTGAATGCCGAAATGTTTGAATTACCGAAAAAAGTAGATAATGTTAAAAATTTGCCACAAATTCTACAAGGGTTCAAAAAATTTTGTGCTTGTGAAGGAATAAATATAAACGATGTTGATTGTACATCAAACTTGTTAAATTGTAATAATTACAATCTTTCGGGATGTCGGTCAAAAAATTGTTCTTTATTATCGCTAAACTACAGTAAATGTCGTGATTGTAAAAAATTGTCAAAACTTTTGTCGCAGCAAAAACGAAGATTAAAAAAACTAAGCAATAATGAGGAGATTAAAAAATTAAAACCTTCGAGTCAAATAAAACTAAAAGCACTTCAGAGGAAAAATCAAAGGAGAAGAAAAGAATTAATTCGTTTAAAATACAGATTACATGTTTTAGAGAAATCTCTCGAGAAAAATCAATGTAATATTGCTAACATTAATGAAAATGATTTTGATAAAAATTCCTCATCTTTAAATATGTCTCAAAATCAGAAGATGATAGTGAAAGAAATTATTCGTGCTGCTAAATACACAAATCCAAAGGGTCGACGTTATTCAGACGATTTTATAATGCTGTGTTTACTTATGAATATAAGATCTCCTTCATTTTATGAATTTTTAAGAAAAAATGATATTCTTCCATTACCGTGTTCCAAAACTGTACGAGATTATTTATCAATGATTAGAACTAAATGTGGCTTTGACGACGGCTTCTTTAAACTTCTCGAGAAATCATTTAAAGGAAAGGATCCAATGAAGCGCCATGGTATATTAATTCTAGATGAAATACATTTAAGGAAATCGATTTCTGTTTCGTCGAAAGATTTAACATACTCTGGATTAACTGATTTTGGTGAAAATAATAAAAAGGGTGAAAATCTTGACGCCGTAGCAACTCATGGTCTCGTTCTCATGTTCCAATCTCTAACTGAAAAATATTCTCAGCCCATTGCTGTTTTTGCCTCAAAAAACTCTGTTCATGGAAATGAATTGGCGAAACTCGTCGTGCAATCAATCTACTATTTAGAAAATTGTGGGGCGAAAATTCATGGGATTCTCGGAGATGGTGCTTCAACTAATGATAAAATGTGGAAACTATTGAATATTAAATCTTCACGAGAAGATACAAAATGTTGGTTTACACATCCTTGTGATGAAAATAGAAAAGTATTTATGTTTTCGGATGCACCGCATTTAATTAAATGTATTAGAAATAGACTGTACAGTAATAATCTTCGTGTGAGTTTTTTTTTTTACAATTTTAGTGTATTTTTTTTAAATTTTGTTGTTTATTATAACGCATATTTAAATTCAATTTTTTACCTTCTTTTTTAGATTCATCCTGATGAAAATGAAATAAAGTGGGATTATTTTCTACATCTATTTCATGTCGATAGTAATCACGAGGCCAGAGTTCGTGCGTGCCCTAAATTAACTAAAAGACATATTAAATTAGATCCTCAAGGACTAATGCGTGTTCGATATGCAACTCAAGTACATATTTATGAAAATATTCTATTACCAATAATAATAATAATTCCCTAGTTTATTTGAAATATTCAAGTTATTTACTTCTTTTCAGATTTTTAGCGATTCAGTAGCAAAAGGTTTGATATTTTATCAAATGCACCAATATCCTCAGTTTGAAGGTTGTGAAGATACAGCTAATTTTTGCATGAAAATGAATGAAATGTTTGATGCACTCAATCGGCATCAACCAAATCAAGGTCTTACACCTAATTCTAAAGATTTTAAGGTATTGTACTTCATTTTCTATTTTCATGAAAAAATTACTTTTTCATTCGTTTTCTATTATTTTTGTTTATTAAGAATTATTTTCAAAGTCATTTCCATAATATTTTATAAAGGTGTTGCAAAATATTCTTCTGTGGCTAAACAATTGGGAGATAAATCTTGAAAATGGTCTAATAGATGAAAGTAATTACCTAACGTTAGAAACAGCAGGAAGATTACGAGTAACAATTATGTCAACACTGACTATGTGTCACTATTTAATTGACAAATTTGATTTTTCTTATCTTCTAACCGGAAAAGTTAATCAAGACAATCTAGAGGTACTTTTAGTTATTTTTTCTGATTCAAATATACTATATATTCATTGCTTTGTGGATAAATGTCTTTTCTTTAGAAATTCTTTGGCACAATTCGATTGGCAGCTGGATCCAATGAGCATCCCACATGTCCAACGTTTTTGCAGTTATACAAGTTGTTGGCTGCATACAGTATATTAAAGCCGCCTAGATATGGAAATTGTTTAGTGACTGAGCAGAAAGTTCAAAATCTTATCACAATTTCAGAAATTAAAGAAATTTTTGAAAAGTCTCATTCCAAATCGACATCACTGTTAAACAGTATTAAAAACAAACTGGACAGTCTAATTGAGGAAGACACCTGGGAAGTTGACGAAGTCATTGAACATGACTATTCAATTAGACCAGTTATAGACTGCATTATTTATTACACCACAGGTTTTAAAGATTCTTTATTAACTAACATTTATTAATGTTTTTGTGTTTTGTGTATATTTGTTTTGCATTTTTCTAACGCTTTTTCTAATATTTTCTAACATATTTCGTACAATCACTTTATGATAATAACTATTACAATATTATTAATTATTTATTAAGATATATCTGTAGTTATGATTATTTATACATATATTTATTTCAGCCTATTGGTCCAAAAAAGGAATTGGTTTACATTTTACAGCAACTTAACTGAGGCACAGATGTTATTTCATCAATATTCTACCGATGTAAACAGTTTTTTTTAATTCAATTTTTTATTGATTATATACAATAAAAATGTGCTTGTCCATATTTCCTTTAAGCAAAAATAAAAAAAAAATATTTGAATTTAAATATATTGCATGAAATTAAAAAGTAGTTCTTGTATTTTTTAATTAGAAGTAGTTTGTGATCGTCCACAGAAAAGCCAATTAAAACTTAATTTTTTAAAATAAAATTTATCATTTTAATTTTAACATTTATATTTCATTTTTAGGATATCTTTGTCGACAAATTTTGAAGAAAAAAGACTACAGTCAATGTGACTCTTGTATTAAAGCTCTCACATTTTGCGATAAAAAGTCTGCAGTCAGCAACCTGGTAGAGTTAAAAGATCAGGGTAGATTAATTCATCCCAATTACCATTTTTTTAATCTCATTTGTTTCACAGAGACAGTTTTTCGCAAATACGCTAACCAGCAACACGTCTTTGATAAGGTTATTGATGAAGTTACAGACAATTATAAATTCACTTTTCCCTGTAAACAACATGCTTCCAGCATTTTAACTTATGCCTTATTTTATTATATACGTTTAAGAATGTGCCAATTTGCGTTTCAGTTCAATCAAACTCTGAAAAAAACATCTTCTATCAAAAGAAAACTTTCCAAATTAGAAAGCAGTTAAAATTCTATACAAATAAGAGTCTAATTTTTTAAGAAAATGTAAATTATGTTTATGTCTCGTTAAAAGCTGTAAAAAATATTTTGCAAATTATAAAACTTTCGTTTTTCAAATCAAAGGTAGTTTTCTTTTCCTTAAAACAAGGCTTCAGCTGCGCTTATCAGTGTTTAATAATACGTTATATTATATACAATCGGTCAATATTTTATGTTTTACAAAAGCCAAAGAAATATTGTCACTTTTATACAAACCGAAGTAATCTTCGTAATTATGTCAATTTAAAAAACAAAACAAAAACACAATCAATATTTTATGGATTATTTCAATACAGGAAGAGTATTAATTTTTTGAAAAAGAAATCATTTTTACAATAATAAGTCAACTATAAAAACAAAAATATTTGTACAATTCTAGCATTTATGCACTTATAAAATCGCTTATTTATTTCTCCACTATCAAAACACTTTTTTTAATAATTTTGTAAATATACAAGTCGAAATTATGAATCAACTCAAAAAATTTTTTAGTGTATATACCAAAAATTGAGGTTATGTTCGTTTGTTTACACTCCAACCATAGACTCTTCGACAAATACGCCCTCGGGCTTCACGCGGCGACCCTGCGAACCATTATGAGATTCCGGACCTGTATATACGACCGTGAACAATACTACCAACCTGACAATCCCCCCAACTGCTGCAAAGTGTTGATTCAATTGAGACTAAGAAAAAATATATAAATTGACAATAATAATCATCAAATAATTGTTTGTAGAAACAAAAAATTAATCTTGATAAACATATTTTATACTAAATATATGTTAAAGATTTCAAATCTTATAAACAAAAATTGAATAATTCAATTTTAAATTTCTCGTTTGAATTTGACTGCTTTAGTTACTTCCGTTTAAACTTCCAACATGGCTACTTCAACTATTATGTCCTTTTCCTGTCCACGATTGTTTGTGTGAGACGTGTGCTAACATTAGTTAGCAAATAAAGGGTAAAAAATGTGACATTTTTTTGTTTTACAATCAATATATAGTTTTGAAAAGTTATTCAAAGTGTTAAATTAAAAAAAAAGACATTTTAGTGGTGGGATTAATTAATACAAATAAATAATGTCCTAGTGCTATCCACGCATGCCTCAAACCTTTCTCAACACATTTTTATTATTTTCTTCAGATATTTTCTAAAATGACTTTAACCTTTTATTTTATTTTCTTCTATATTTTCTAATGTGTTTTATATTATGATTCTTTAATTGATTTTACATTTATGTTTATACATTGATATACACATTATTTTTTTAAATTTTCTAACCTCAAAATTGAATATGACATTCTTGTCTCATTTTGGAGTAAGTATATTTTTACCATTGAAAAATGTGACGTAATTAAAAGGAAATTTGATTTAAATGAAAAAAATTTTATTTTAATCGAAAAAGTTGGATTTTTTTACAAAAATTATTTTTATTAACCCTGGTAATTGTATAACTCTTGAAAACTGTTTTAAAGTGGCAAAATCCAAAAGAAAACACCTTTGTTTATATTGTCAAGGGAGATTTTAATTTTACCGGCATCGTTTATTTATAAATAATTAGAGTGGATATTCCTTTTTTTAGATAAATTATGGCAGATATGGATACATTTGATGACCTCGGTACTGGTACTGAAACAGTGCAAGCTGGATGGTCGGCAGAATTACCGGAAATAAAACTTTTTGGTCGATGGAATTGCGAAGATGTGCAAGTCAGTGATATGTCCTTGCAAGATTATATAGCAGTGAAGGAGAAAAATGCGAAATATCTTCCTCATTCTGCCGGCAGGTATGCAGCTAAACGCTTTCGTAAGGCTCAATGCCCTATTGTTGAGAGGTTATCGAATAGTCTTATGATGCACGGACGTAATAATGGAAAAAAACTTATGTCTGTGCGGATTGTAAAACATTCTTTCGAGATTATTTATCTTCTTACGGGTGAAAATCCCCTTCAGGTAATACTTTTATTTCTATATTTTATTTCCCTTATTGTTCAAATGTCTGAAATTTTACGAATTTTCGTTCTATACCTACAATTTTTCTAGTTTTTTTTTTTTTTTTTTTTTTTTTGAAAAAACACCGTTTATTTTAATAGGAAAAAAATGTTCTGCGATTGGCTTAATACTTTGGTAAATTGTTGTTCTTTATGAAAGTAACAAAAATTTTTAAAAAATAAATAACGATTTAAATAACGTTTTTTTGAAGGAAAGTTTATTATTTTTATATTACAGGTGTGTATAATAATAATGTAATAATAAAGTTCTGTATTTTCCAAAGGTTCTAGTAACAGCCATAATTAATTCTGGACCAAGGGAAGATTCGACGAGAATTGGTCGCGCGGGAACTGTACGACGTCAAGCAGTTGACGTTTCTCCATTACGGCGAGTAAACCAAGCAATATGGTTGCTATGCACCGGAGCAAGGGAGGCTGCTTTCCGCAATATAAAAACAATTGCTGAATGTTTGGCCGATGAGCTTATAAATGCAGCGAAAGGATCATCTAATTCTTATGCTATTAAGAAAAAAGATGAGTTGGAGCGAGTCGCCAAATCAAACAGATAAACTGGAAGAAAAAAATGTTTCCTCTTTTCATTCGTAAGAAATAAACTAAATCTGTTTCACAAATATTGTCAAATTTATTTATAAAAAATAGGCTTGTTTTTTATTTTTTTAACATGAAAAGCTTTAAAGCATATTTAGGTACCAAAAAAAAAATCAAAATAATAGGTATGCACTTATCCTCATAGTTTTATGGACAGCTTATCCACTGGAAGTTTTCAAAATTGAAAACTTTCACACTGTCTTTTTTATTTCAAAGATATTCAAACACTGATAATGATTTGATTATTTAACAATTAAAAATTATTAACAAATTAATGTTTTTTCAAAATTTTGACCATTTTGTTGGATTCAGGTGGGTTTTCTTTACAAAGGTAAGTGAAGTTTAAGCTTTTTAATTACTATAAGTTAAAGGCTGAATATCAATATAAAACTAAAAATTTACTATTTCAAAAAAATACTATAAAAAATGCAAATGAATTAATGAAACACAATAAGGTATAGGTCAATGATTTTTATTTGATGACACAGTAATAATATTTGGATAGAGTTTTGGGTGCGGCGCCAAAGTGTATAAATACGATACAAACGTAAAAAACCTGTAAATGCGTCTGAATAATTGTTATTACGAGCACGATCTCTTTTTTTCGAAATATACCATTTTTCAATCGTGCTTTGGTTTATCAAAGCGTTCGAATTTAATCGAATCTACTACATTTTACAATATGTATAATCTTACCCGTACTTGCAAAATTCTTTTTCCGTTTTTTCTTTTTTGTTTTTAATTGAAAGGCGCACAATCTCCCCAATTGCAATCTCACTGAAAAAACTTCTTTGCCGACTTGTTTACTCGTGTCAACTAATTTTCCCTCTCGCTTTCTCTCTCTCTCTCTCCTCAAGTTATACATAATTGCGTTCGGCGCCTGAATTTTCCCTCTATTATATATTTACAATATCAATTATGACCAGATTTACTCACATGTCTTAATGACTAATCATATAAATTTTACTTGCTCACATACATTTACATATAAAAATTCAGCGCCGTGTTTTGTATACATATAATATATTAATATTATATTAACATTTTTTTGTTCATTAAATAAAGTTTTCTTAGTAAATTATTACATGTATAAATAGACTATATTTTGCACGCACATTTGCAGAGCTTCTTTTCTCGAGTGTACAAAAAAATTTCTCCAATTTTTTCAATTATTTTCCTCAGCATTTTGTGAATGGCTTTGTTTTATCCTCTGCGAGAGAAAAAAAAATAAAGAACTAGAAAATTGAAAAAATTTTTGACTCGAGATTTTCTTTCATTTCGCTGAGCAATACCGAGCTTCGCGGCTATTGGTCAAATATGGACGAGAAGTTTCGCAGCATTTCTCTTTCCGTCCTCTAATACTGTGTCTTTCGTCAAGAGTTTCTTTAAAAAAAAAACAGATTTGCACTGCGTTGCGTCATTGAGGCTCAAAAGTAAAAAATGAGTTTTTAAAAAATACAATCATTTTTTCTGTCACAGCAGCATTGTGTCTTATTGTTAATTTTTATTGATAATTATGTCTACGTTCGCATGATAGGCAATGGTTTCACTTATTAGGCTCGCTTATAATTATAAAATTCTCATAGAATTGTTTATTTAAAACAAAATGCTTTAGGACCTGTCAAAAATTTTGTGGAAACATTCCACAAAAATATTTTCAAACTTTTTAAAAACGTTTTCAAACCTTAAAAATTATTTTAGATCTGTTCTTGAAAGTTTAAACTTGAAAATCTTGCAATATTTTAAAACAGTTCCTAGAATCTCTAAGAAAATAGTTTTTAAATTATTAGAAACGTTTTTCGACTGATGTTTGAAACATATTTGAATTTACAAAAATTATTTCGAACTATTAGATGTACAAATTCGTTAAAGCGTTTTGAATTTTTCAAAATGTTCACAAACTTGTAAAATTGTTCTGAATTCCACCAAACTGTTTAAAACATGTTCGAACTTAGAAAATATGTTCTATTTAGGACTTTCGGTGTCTCAATTTTTCGTTTCAAAATTTATAAAATTGTTTCAAACTGTTAAAAACGTTTTCGAAGTTTGGGAAAAATTTTAAATTGTTAGTACCGTTTCCGAACGTGCAAAAATAAAACGCTTTCAAACTGTTTGAAACGTTTACGAACATGTTTGTTTCGAGCAATGAAAATTGTTTCATTGAAAAATTGTTTTCTATACCATTTAGAGCCTGTAAAAATGCAATAGGCCTTTTAAAAATTAACTTGCGTGAAAAAATTATTGCTTTCTTTATTTCGAAATTCGTTAACGAACTTTGCTTTCTTTTCTTGAAATTCGCACGATTTCTAAGAAATATCTGAAACATACGGTTTCCTGGCTTATGTACAAAAAATAATTGTTGCTTGAAAAAGCGTTGTCTTCTAGCATGCTTCTAATTTTCTCCAAGTTTCTTTTTATGTATTTGTTTTCTTTTCATTAATAAGAATATTTCACTCGATGTAAATTGATTCTTCTATATTTTGTTATCCTACTCAATATCAATGAGTTGAAAATTTGACAAAACTGCAAATATATTTCCTACGTCTATTGTCGTCTTACGATCATTGACATCTCCTAAAGAGCGGACTCGACACCTCTCGAAGACGAAGTCGAGGAACTTAAATCCTCTGAGTGCCTAGTATGAGAAGAATCCATCGAATTTGAATCGCTATCGTTGCTAAGAGGACTTGAAAAATTGGCCGCCTCTTGAAGTCTCAATAGCATATTTAACTGGAAAAGAAAATTTCATTTATTTTGCTTTTTTTACTTGAAGGTCCGATAAGCGTTTTTTGAAATTAAAAAGAAAATCATAATTATTAGAACTCTTGAAGTTGAAAAAATGACGAGGCCTGATGATATTTGAATATTAAAAGTTTTAAACTTACCAAAGGATCTCCATCTGTGTCGCTGTGAGTGCTACCGAGACTTTTTACACTAGAAGCTCCGACTCCCGATGAATGACCAGAAGTAACAACGTCGTAGCCAACATCTTCGGGCCTAAGTCGTAAAAGAGCGTCACTTCCGCCGTGAACGGCATGAGTTGAAATCCATGGATAACTTGTGATAATAAATTGTGCTGGATCTTCCCAAACTGAATCGCCATTTCCGCTTCCACTTGTTCTTCGTCCATAAAGTGCCAGACCTTCTCTAACAGCCTCCACCAGGTACGGGATCACAGAATAATTCCACAAGTCTGTAAACCAAACTTGAGATCCGGAAACTTCCATCGGACAAGAGAGGAAGAGTCGTGGACCTGGAAATAAATATTAAATAAATAAACATTCATTTCGTGAAAATTTGTGAAAAATCTTTTTTCCAATGCATTAAATTATTTATTTTTTCTTCTTTTGAAATTTTCATGAATTTACTAACCAAAAAATAAGATAAAAAATTTACCTATAGTCACATCGGAACTACTGTGAGTCTCCAAGAACTTGTTAAGATGAAGCCAAACTCTTGGTAACCACTCAACGACGGCCACCATTTCTGCATTTCTAGCTCCTCCGGTTTCACGTAATTCATGTTCCAGTAATTTCCGTCTTAAATATCTCCCTAGAAAACCTTTTACTGGTTCCATATGATTGGCACACAGGACCCACCTGAAAAAAAAATTAAAAAAAAAAAACATTTCTTAATACTTGTTGAAATAAATTCTTTCTTTTGGTAATTTTATATGCTGAAATTATTTTTTTGCAATCCGAAACCTGAATAAAATAATAATATCCAAACAATAGACGTACTAATTGAAAAATGAAAAAAACCTCACCGGAAATTATGATGAAGCTGAAGATTCGTAGTGCTGCAGGTGGTTTGACTCATGGTACCTATAATCGCGGGACACGTAGAATGTCGAGTGCCGAGAAGGCCGCTAAATAATTCGCTAAGTGAGGCAGCATGTTGAAGATTTTCAAGAATAATAACGCGAGGCAGTTCGTCGGCAGCATTGGAATCGCATCTCTCAGCAATGTGAGTTAAATATTGTCTAAGTTCTTTGCTAGATTTATGATCTACATTATAAGTAGCCACTGCGGCCGCGTCCTTATTTTCCGTATCGGCGTCCACGAGAGCGTGAGCGAGTTTTCCGGCCAAATAACTCTTTCCCGTGCCACTTGGACCGCACAGAATTACTCGTCGATGTTCCATGAGATGATTCACTTGCCTTTGAACTATTGATCTCGGAATTAATGTATCTACTGCGAGCCACGAGTATCCCGAGAGAACCAAGTAAATTGATTTCACGTGTCCGACCATATATCCACAGGGTAATAGTTCCGGATGTTGAGATTCAGTGATGCATCTGAAAATGTGAAATTTCATTTTGTAGAAATATGTTTTTCAATTTTGTTTGCATTTTTCGATTTTTAATCTTCAGTCATAATTATTAATAGATATAAAATGATAACTTTAACTTAATCAACAGTAATAATTTAAATTGAGTGCTAAATAATATAATAAAAGAATTGAACTTTAAATAATTGAAATTAAAGTTCAATTAGTTTAATAATGAACATTCTGATAAAAGAGACTCATTATTTAATACCTTGAGGCTTCGCCTAGATGATAAGCAGCAATACATTCAACACCAAGTCCAAGATTTGTAACAGGATCGACTCTCGAGACATAATCCTTAAAACATCGTCTGACAGTTGTATCGAGACTATCCCATGTTGTTTTGTTGGAAATACAAACGCTAGCGATGATACAGTGAGGTGGATCGCTGGCATTGCCTTCCGTCGAATTTGAAAGATTAAAATTGAAACTTTTCTCACTGCCTAAATAAACTACGACGTTAATTCTCTTTCCATCGGTATCTTGCTCGATCGCTGGCTCGGTGGTTGTGGATGTGGCTGATGGTACCACGGGTTGTTCAGGGATATTTAAATCTTCCAATTGATTTGATGTCGAACCGTGGTCACCGTTCGATAATGCTGCAACAGTAGAAGCAACTTCAGTCATGCTGAAGCGTCGTTCCGGGTCGCTCGGCAACGAAGATTGCGACGAAGTCAAAGATTTCGAGGTCACCAGTCGCTGCAAGCGCTCGTTGTTCTGCTTCAGATTTAGCATCTCGTTCTGAAAAGCAATTAGAGACTTAAGTTTTCTATAACGCATTCACTCAATGAGAGTGAATTAATTCCTTATTTTTTAAGGAATTTTCCATAGAGAAACATTTTTTGTGTCAATTGTATCTTTTAAAACAAGATTCAAATTTTCATCAACAAAAACAGAATTTATTAAATAAGTGGGTAGCAAAAAAAACGTAAAATAAATAAAAAAAATCAAAGCAAAACAGATGTTAGGCGATCAGTGAAGAGTTAATTGATCGCTGGATTCTTTGCGAAATGAGATTCCGACAAACAGATGGCAAATAGGATCAGCAGTGAACCTTGAAATCGTTTTCCGCGTGAAATAATCGAAATCTGCCTTCCGTAAAATTGCCCTTTTACATTTGAAAGTCGAATTCTCATGCACACGAATGGACAAAAAATCACGAACTTACCCTCATTTTGATGACAGTGTCCTTGAGGGATTCAAGTTGATGCGCGGATGAAAGTGCCTCGAGTCTAATGTCAGTCAGAACCATGTCTTTTTCTCGCAGCTGTTTTTTTAACTCATCAACATCGTCGTCGTCCTCGTCTTCCTGTTTATAAAGAGCGGAACTGCTCTTGCTTCCTGTTATAGCGTTATCACTCTCGGGAGATTTTTGACCATTGCTTCTTGGAGTTTGATTTTGATCTTGGACTTTCTCGTGTTTTGTGGCCATTGGAAGTCGCGGACTATTTGGTACACTCAAATCTCCAACGCCCTCCTTGCAATCCTCAGCGTCAGAGATTGAACCTTGTCGATGTTTACGAGTTCTACTGAGGCAAAATAGTTATTACATAATTAATTTATTATAAATATCTATACGTGGGAAAAATATAATTACAAAAATGTGCTATGTGGGTTGTTTTTAGAGAAATTTTGGAAATAGAGAAAAATAAGATTTTGCTAATTTGTGTTGAACTGGTTTACCTAGAGAAAGCCTTGGAGAAGGAACTTCGAAGCCAGCCTTTCTTCTTGTGGTGACTGCTGATAGAACAAGCGCTGCTCAAAGAGTTTAGAGATGTGACACTGTCTGCTGACAATTGTCTCGCGATTGACGATCCTTGATGATTGCTGTTTCCGGTGCATCCGGTTGTTCCAGAATCAGAATCACCCAGAGTATGTCTTCGAAGATTGTTATTCAAAGTAGCCTCAGCACTCTGCTTTCTAAGCCTTTCGATTGTTTCCCTCAATTCGTGCAATTCCGTATCCTGAAAGCATAATTTAATTTTTTATAATCTTTTTTAAATGCATATTTTTCTTTTTTATTTCTTTTTTTTATTAATTCAAGATTTTGCATTTTTTTACCTAATTTCTAAATGAAACTTCTCCTATACTTCTGTATATTTAAGTTTCTTTTCCCATAAATCAAACTAAAAATTTCATCTCTAGAACATTGAAAAATTATTTCAGAAGAGAAATTTGACAATGATTAATTTATATATATATGTACCTATTATATATGTTTTTATTTTAATTGGGAAAAAATAAATTGCGGAAATCGACTTCTAATATGGAACTAGATTTTTATAGGTTTATGAAAATGAATGAGTAAATTATAACTTTCTATAGTAATTAATATGGTAAATTGACTGATAGTTTCATGAAATGCTTTAGAAAGATAATACAACTATTTTACGACTCATTGGTTTCTTAATTTCTTAATTTAATTTTAAATAATAAAAATATGTTCTTTGGGGTTTCCTCAATATTTTATTCGATACATCGAATAATACATAATGAATCATTTTATTAATTCCTTTTGAAGAAATTATTTTTTTTACAAGTTTGACAATTGATCCAATTAAATTAAAAATAAAGCAAAAAGTTATAAACTGCCGTGAATGGGGCAAAGATTAGAAGCTTGACAACAGATGCAACTATCAGATTGACTTGTCACAGAATCACTACTCCATGAATCGGAAATGCTATAAAGTTGCCTCATGGAATTGGAATTTGGTTCCTTGGAATGTCTATCGGAAGTATCAGATTCATTAACACCTTGTGGCATTGCATGTTTTAATTTTCCAATGGCAATGTTTCCACCATTATTTCTAACAATTCCGGTAGTAATATTTTTATTTGTCGATAAATGGATACTGTGAGTATTTTTACTTGACAAATTCTTCAAGCTACGCTTCCCAGTGTCCTCAAGACTTTTAGGATTTTTCGCAATTGTCTTGTGTGTCTTTTTCGCCAAATCTTTTGCATTCTTTGAATCTTTAAAATTCTCTAACTCTTTCAAGTTATTTTTACCAATTAAGGTCTTGGGATCTTCTTTTGAACTACTACAACAACTTTCCTTAGAGGTATTACTTTTTGAAGACGAGTTCGAAAAGTTTTTTTTTAATGAAGAACTTGCTTCAGGAATTTTAAGACCAAGAGCTTTTGCATCTTTTGGAGGAATGGGAATGAGAACAGGAAAATTGGAATTTAGTGAAATATTTTTTAAACCAGGTAAGAAATCATTTAGGGATGGTTTTAAATCACTTGGACGAGGCAATTTTCGACTTTTTGATTTTGTTGGACGTTTTGAATTGTCCATTTTCTTTTTCAATATGGAAACAATCTAAAAATTATCAAAATTTACTCTTACAGAATTAAATTTTAATTTTACAGAGTTATTAATTACTGTAAAATAATTTAGTAAATACTTTTCTCTTACATTATCTGGATTTTAAATGTCGTGGGTGCATTTTTTACAATTTATGGATATTTTTAATCTGTATATTGCAAAGTTCGAAAGTTTTTTTAAGTTTTCCATTTTTTTTATTTGTATTTTCTTTCTTGTAAAGTATATTTATATCGAAATTGACATTTTGAAATATTGAAAATATTTAATTTAATTTAAGGTTCTGTTTTAAAACGTGGTAAAATTCTTTTGTTTTCTTGATCAATTGGATAATATTTTTTTAAGTAGGGAAATCATTTCGAATTAATATTTCAAAATTGTTTTTAGGTATTTGTAATTTAATTTAAATTATCAATTTTATTTTTTAGCAAAAACAACAGCAACTGCTATAAAAAAATAGTTTAAAAATTTAATTTTTTCATAATTTTAAGATTATAAAATTGAGAAGCGTATTTTTGATGTGATGCATTATAGAGTTGAACTTTATGGGATTTTAAAATTAAATAGGCATCATAACAATATCCATAAAAAAAAGACTGGCATCATTAGAAGCAATTTCTCAGGAATTTCAAAAGTTTCCTAATAAGCTCATTGGGTCTACTTAGAATGTAATAAATGATAGAAATAATCTTCTTATGCAAAAAAGTAAATGCTGGAGAATTTACGTCTGTGAAGCTCTAAAACGTTTTTTATGGTCGAAGCAATAGCTATACAAGTTTTATAAATTAAAATATTGAAATATATTTTTAGCAACCCATATTTAATCTAAATAATATCTAAAATGTAAAATTAAATTCGATTGCAATAACAAAATTTGTAAACTTGAAAAAAAATTTAAACTCAAATTCGACAAAATAAAAGGCAATTTATAAATTAAATATATAAGGAAGAGAACTCATGGGTTATATTAAATTTTCCAGTATCTAATTGTTTATTTAAAGCTAAACTTTTTTCTTTTTAAATAAAAAACATTTCTGTTATCAATCCATATACATACAGGGTGTTCCAAAAGTATGGAAACCTGCAAATATCTCGAAAACTTTTTTTGTTTTGAATATTTTTCACGAAAATGCGTAATTTTCGAGATATTTGCAAGTTTCCATACTTTTGCAACACCCTGTATAATAATAGTTGTTAACAATAATGACTTACTTTTTTCTCAGCAGTCGCTGTGAGTTGTTGTAGCCTTTGAGTCATGTTGGACAAAGATTGTTCAAAAGCAGATACAACATGAGCCTGAAACAAAAAGAATACATTTCGTTATAAAAGAAATTAATTTTAAAAAAGTGAAAAATCTTACAATTTTATAAAATTCAACATGACAAAAATTTTCGTTAAGAAACGATATTCTAATTATTTTCTCCGCATGCTTAAATAAAATCCATTAAGTAAATTTAAATCGAAAATCAATACGAATTTAAATTCTTCATTCTTATCGGGGAACCGTGAACTGGAAGTTTCTTATCTGAAAGCTTTATTTGCAGAGAAGATGATTCTGACAATGATGTACAACCGTTCCTATCTAAAGCTCTAACTCCCTTATTTTTTAAATGATATAACCGGGATAATATATTTTCTCAAACGACCATCATTTACTGCCTAAATGATAATGTTTTGTATAAATAGATAAAAATAGAAAATCACTATAGACAGAACATCGGCCTTATTTCTTCAATGACACACGTGACCCACAAAGTGTGAAAATTCGATATCTTTAGACACGTCTAAAATAAATTTGAAGCAAAAAGAAAAATTATTTTACAATTTTAATTGAAAAAAGGAAACATTTTAAATAATGAAAAACAAATAATATTTGGTTTTTTAATTTTAAACTGACTTGAAAATAGAAATGTAGTCATATTCTAAGGACATTCTTCAACTGGTTTTTAATTTACAACAATGCATATTTAACCTAATAATCGTCTGGTAATTTGAGAGGTTTATTGCAATCGCATTATCTTGTCAAATAAACAAACGATTTGCATATGAGCGTATTTTATAGGCGACAACCGTTGTTCGAAGATGGAACGAGACGACTTGAACTCATGCAAAACGTAGGCGACATGACCCACAATAGAGATCCACACGTGGGTCGTTACATTTTTTTTCTCCAGTAGATGTTACTTGGATATGTGTCCGGTACTGTGGACAATCGTGTCCTGGATTATTCAAAGGTAATATATACTTCTCCCGTCTTAAATCTTCTTTGTTTGCAGGGCATCGGGTCGTAAAATGTTAATTTTGTCTTTTTCGATGACATTTAAAAAAATAATAGTTTTTCCCCCTTCAATAACGGTTTCGTATTTGAAATACACGACAAGAAAATATTTACAGTTACCATTTTCAAATTGACTGTAATATAATTATAATTATACATATAATAGCGAATCTTATTTATATTCAACAAAACAGCTGAGTATTTTTCATATAGTTTTTAATCAATATATATATATATATATATGTTTATTTAAGGAGGACAGACATAACTTCTAAACTTATAATATAATTTACAGTTTAAAAGTTGAAAAAATACAAAAATAATAATTTTATGTTGCCCAATTTGTTGTCGCTTAAAGAAATGAACGTCGACTAGATCCTCAAAAACAAAACACAACACTTGTTACTCCGAAATTTCAGAGTAATTGATTTGAAAGTGCAGTCGGATCTTTTGTGAATATATAGTGACCTAGAATATTGCAGTGGTACAAAAGTGCAAGGTCTTTGAAGCAAAAGTACATCTCTATATATCGATGTCAGATATCGCCCTGCGAGCTATCCGCAATGCAAATCCTCTGGAGCTTTTTATTTTATGCAGGGTGATCTCATAATGTTGAGAATGAACCGGGCATTCAAGCTGCAAACCATCAAAAGAAACTGCCCTTTCAAGTGGAAAACACCTGTCGCAAATCGAGGCTATAAACAACTATGTCCGCATTTAACATCAAAGAGAAAAACGTTATCTGACGTAAGATAGATAAATATTCGCAAGGATTTTATATATCACTCTTTTATTTTCAACTGTGAAGAATCTCCAAGATCAAATTTAATACTGTATTTATTTTTATTTCAAACAATTTTATTTTTATAAACTAAACTAAACTATTGATTTTTAACCATTTTTAATTTTAACACATTTCGAAGAATATTTGAAGAAACTTGTAAGTAACAAGGAAAGTATTTTTTCAGAAATAATTTACATATCACCGAATAAATGGAAGACTAATTAAAAAAGTAATTTCAATTGAAATCAAAAGGTGTTGAATTTATTTTGAAAAGTGTGAAAATTGGAAATCAAATCCCCGTAAAGCTAATTAAAACCGTAATCCGTAAAATTAGACTAGAAAGTGGAGAATAAAATTAGATTGAACCTCAATATAATTGACGTCATTCTTAATACAGAGTATAGTTAATTTTATTCAACAGTGCGTGCAAAAAAATCAATAAAACTCGTTCCTTGACTTAACGATAAATCAGTTTAATCTTTAATTACAATGTGCGACTAAACAATACCTACAAGGATCATGTAAACATGTTTATGTCACTTTAATAATTACAGGTTTGTGAATGAGTGACTATTAATGTTTGGAAATAAAAATGCAAATTTCGAGTCCAATGTCAAGTAAGTATCGCGATTGTCTTCTACGTTGCGAGATTTTCTTGTTAGGGAGGCACAGATATATTATATTCAGCGAAGAGACAAAATTAGAGGTATGACAAATAAAACATTTCTAATTCTGACAGCTGAATTTAAATATTCTTCTTATAAATTTGTGTTGTAGGGATTTGAGTTAGTTTTTAATGATTATAATTTCCCATTAATAAGAAATTTACTGAATCTGTTTTCCCAAGTCTTCACATAATTTAGAAATTTTAAATAATGGAGTTACTTAAATAAATTATATGTTAGAGTGTTAAACTTTGTAATACTTTTTGAACTCCAAAAAATATACATATATATTTTTAAAAATAAAATTAAGATAAAGGGCATAAGTGCGTCTCTAATTAATCGCGGCTAAATAAGTGGGATAAAAGAGCGGGTCTGCATTAGATAGGGTCTTGATCATAAATTTGTATGGACCTTCTATTTTCTATATGAAGCTTCTAATATCATGACTAACCGAATGCTCGAAGCGATTTATATTTATAACCCTTTTCTCTGTTGCCTATCAACGATTCGATCGTCAATTAACTTCGTGAGCTCTCCATTAAGGCCGGCAAAACTTTAACTAACAATAAGACTCAATCTATGTAATGGAAAGTTACTTCGTCTTCCGTTTGTTAACTTGGCTACTGTATGTGACAAATTATTTTAGAAAGTTCACTTAAGAACCCAGGTGCATTATCGATGAATGTACTTTCTATACCTACATACTTAAAACCTAGCTTTATTATTCATTTTTGATACTCTTTTTTTAATTTCAAGATATATTTTTTTTTCATATGAGAACAAAATTTACTCAATAAGTATATTTATCCAACTCAGAATACGGAGAATTATTGTTTGCTGAGGAAAGTGAAAAGTTATCGATTTTGACTCTCCATTTATTTAGTACCTAAACTAATATTTCGAAACTAGAGAGAGTAAATGAAACCAATTTCACTTATTGATGAAAACGTTATTTTTATAAAGAATATCAAAAAATGTCAAGTTTTACTATTTTTTTTGAGAAAATTAAAAATAATTAGAATCGAAAAAAGGAACTAAAGTTAGATTATAGAGATTTAGTAGTAATTACATTACATTAGTCATTTTAAAAAGGTACTGGCTGCAATATATTATGAATTGGTACACATAAATTATTTCATCGGAAGATTTGTATCAGTAGAGAAATCTTTTTCTTTAAAGATCTTGGATTAGAATATACGCAGACTTAATTTATAAGCTTATCAGATGCAGAGTGAAATACAACTTATTACATTTATTTTATACAGTGTTTTTTATATATTGTTTCAAAGTGTCTAAAACAGGTTGCTTTCGCGAGTCTCTTTTTGGAATCAGAAGCAATATCGCCACTGAATCCAGAGTAACGGTAATAAATCGGGTTAACGTGCTACGAGACTTTCATCGACGTTTGATCTGACCTTAGTTAAATGAACTATTGCTATAACAAATTCTATTTCTCCCAGAAAAATCCAAGGGAAATAGTGATGCGGTTGCTGAACTTTAGTTCCAATTGTTAGAAAAAATGTTGCTGAAAAATAATGCCAACTCCATAGGTGCTAAATGAATAAAAATAATGATATAATAAATATGCACACAAGATTTGTCACATCAATAACTAAATCTTGATAGCGCAAATTATATGAAATTAACAGACATAGTAAAGATCGATGATAAGTGAAATCACTTAGAAATTATAATTCTCAATCGTATAGACAGTACGTGGGAATAAATTAGAACATTTGCATTCAAGTAGGTATGAAAAGACTTGAGAACATGGCAGTTACAAGAGTCGATTTGCAAAAGTGGTGTGTAATGCTTGACAGAATTTCCTGGGAATGAAGGAGAAGAGTTGCAATTTACGGGTTTACAACTGTTGAGGGCGCCTACGTGGCTCCTTATATTAGATCTGGCCGAGGGAAGCTGATATAAATGAATGGCGTAGGTGGTCCAGCTAGCTGTAGTGTCTAGGAACGATGTTATTACTGTCGAGAGGACATTAACGCGTGCTGAGCATGAACAAGGTGATCAGATTTATAGAGTATACATTGGATGATGTCTTCTTTTTCCTTTTCCATAAAACGACATAATTACAGAGAAACAGGTCCTCGTCGAGTTGCAAACTATCTCAATTCATTAAATGTCATGTCCCGCAAAATACTTTCTAACATCTTCACTCAATTTGTTTCAATTTATTGGAAATTATATCAACACCCATGTCCCCCCTCACAGATGAAAATAATTTCCAGTTTACATGTCATTTTCTAATGTAATTTATAATCAAATCTGAATTTCATTCATTTTCCCATTAAATTTAATTTTTCTCTGATTTTATTAAGTGTATCTTTTGAAATTGCTGTTATAACAATAAAATATTTACGCACAATCAATAATGGACGCAATTATAATTTTATGTCATGTCATAAAATTCAAATTGAATTGTAGTTCGGATTTGGAATCTTGGAAATAAAAAAAAAACCAAAATATTGAATTATTTAGTATTAATTACAGGACTCAGTTACAGCAGTTAGAGAAAATATTATTTTACTATTAATTATCTAGTTATCGGATCATT